GGTTACTGCGTAATCTTCGTATGAGTGCAAGTATAATGTTGTAATTAAAAAGCACGCACTGAACTATACTTTAAACTAAACTTTTAAACATCACTCTGGGTTGTTCAACTATTATAGAAATTTCAGTATTTTAAAATTATTTCTAGTACACGTCCGCTTCCAACAAGCGCCAGAGAGTGAGATTGCCGATCTCTTCCCAAATTTCAGTAACCAAAACCTGTTCTTATGTTATTGTTTTATAAGTGAAATTGATGATTAGTATGATGAATTTTGATTTCCTTGAGGGTATCGAAATATGGGTTTGTGGCGACTCCCACATACAAAGAAACAGAAACATACTACAGCGCCATCTAACGAATACACACTGAACTACAGAGTAACTCCTGAACGAAAATTGCTAATCCTGTATCGCGAAATGAAGAATTGTCTCGCTGAATACGTATATAGTTGTATATATATATATATATACAACTTCCCAACATCAATCGTTGGGCCGCGGCCCGCCAGGCAGGATCACCTCGCCTGGTCGGTGGATCCTCCTTTTATGTTGGAGGGACATGACACCTGTTCCTCCACAGGTTTTTTGCTTCATAAGCAGCCTCATTTTTATTACATTAACTAAGAAGTTTATTTTATTTACAGCTTCAAGGAACTATAGACCTAAGTATTAGTAGTAGATTCCATGCGTTACCGAGATAAAGAATCATGATAGACAGACAGACGGACAACAAATTGATCTTATAAGGGTTCCGTTTTCTCCTTTTAAGGTTTGGAACCCGAAAAATACTACATATCAAACATCTGAAATTTACACATAAATGTATATTTATAATAAAACCAGTATGAGAGTATTAACAATTTTCTAGCTTTTAAATGCTGAAGGTCTTATCTACCATCCTGTCGGTCCATATAAGGGGATAGAATTGTCTCGAGCATGTACTATTCAATAGTGTACTATATCCTGTCCAATCATGGTACAGTCAACGAAATTAGTTTTAACCTAAGTATTGAAAATATGAAATTGACCGTTATTGATTACGGGCCGGACATAGGAAAATACTATAAATTATTGGTACAAAAATAAGTAAGAAAATTTATCTTTCACTGACGATGAATTGAATAAAACATAAAATATAACATAGTCATCTTTTGCAGAAAATTTTAAAAGACAGCATTGTGATGTAGTTTTGACAGTGTAGTTCTTTAAATTAATAACTGTTTTCCCCCTTGTTTCGTTACATCAGTCAGATGAACAAAGAAACACTAAACAGCTAAATGGCTAACATGCGTACTACGTTTGGTCGTAAGTGCGTTCGTAAATTTTGAGTAGTAGTGAGTGTCAAAATTATTCAGTGGCTAAATTCAAATATGTTTACTTGCCAGAATGTAGTACATAGCATAGATGTTAGTAATCACATATCAAAAATTTGTGGGTAAATGAAGAATCTTTTACATCACTTGACTCGACAACATAGGGCGTGCACCACAGTGTGTGATTACGGCCATTGTGAAGTGTGAATCCCGTTGAGTTCGGGCAATAAAAGGTGTGTATCACCTATCGAACATGTTATAAGTATTTATTTAAGGTTAGCGTAATTCGGACAGGATTTTTATATTTCAGAATAACGATTTCAAAGTAAACAAAATAAAGTTTTATCCACCAGATAAAACTACTAAAAAACTAAATAGCAAATTTTAAAATAAATTTTAAAATATTTTTTAAATAAATTTTGACAATATTAATCCAATATTAATAATAATTTAATTATTTTTTTAGAAATGTGTATGATTGTTCTCAGGTATTTTTATGTTTTGAACAATAATTTGTAATTTAACGAGAAAACTGGAATATAATTTAATTTGTAACTACTACTAAACCTACAATTGCATATTATACTCGTACATACTGATTCATACAATAGAGTTTCTTTTTCATTATTTGTAGCTGGATGGTCCCCCATAATAATTGCAATCAAGCCTTTAGGCGTAATGAGTTATTTAAATTTAGTAGCTAAAAAAATATAAATATATTTAAAGAGTGCGTCCATTGGTACTTTTCTTATGGTTCCTACTCCAATTAAAATACACTTTGTACTTGTTCTTCAAGAGTAGCACTCGCTGCACTACGTCACACTAACTTAACTAAACAACTAAAAATGCTTAGGGTTCTTTAGTCTTAATGATATATTCGTATCGTTGGAATATTCACTTATTCCCATCGGGTGGGATGAGCCTGATTTAGATTTCTGAGATATTATGTTTTTATTTAGATGTTTAGAAAAGTAGGATGTTAAAAAAGCGGGTAGTTGATTTACAATAGTTTCGCGCGACGTACCGCTTCACACAAAAGTTTTGAAATCGGTCGGATATGCACGCGGTGTCATAAACCAGAATTAAGAAATAATTTGTTCTGTTCGAATGCGCGTATTGTCGCAGTGGTGTATTATTTTGTGTTACGGTTGTTGGCTGGTTGGACTGGACTAGAGAAGACGGCCGTGACCAGTGGAGCACCGGATGCTGGTTACGGAAATACGGGTTGGGACTACACTGGTAACGTAGTTTATCAATATATTTTTATACAACACATTTAGATAGGGAACATTTACACATCACAGGGTTCCGAACAGAAGACGGATCAGCCTCACTGGTAAGTCGCTAAATTCTTCTCTTGTACAGCTCCCCGCTATCGCGGACAGTTTGGGGTCGCGGGAGAATCCCAAACATTAGATTAATTTATTTTTATAAATATTAAAGTGCTTAAATATCTGAAACTGATGTTTTATTAATTTTTTAACTTTTGATTCGTGTTCTGTTCAGTATGTACCCTGCTTTACAATATCAGTTTCGTGACATTGATTCTCCATTTCGTTATTTATCAGTTTATTAACCCATGTACCATGTGTATGTATTAATTTATGTTTAATGTTTAATTTAATGTTTGATGTTAATTTGTGCAAATCGTCAATAGTTTTATTGTTCCTATAAAGATAAGTCACAAGTAATTAATTAATTACTATACTTTGTATTCTTAGTAGCAGTGTATTCTGTTAATAGTTGTTATAACCGAAAAGAACAAAACGAAAATATGTTTTTAATTATTTATTATAGTACTAGCTGGTACCCGTGACTTCGAATTTGAAAAGCGCTGCTTAGTGGGTTCGATTCGATTCGATTTGAGAGGTCTACGTTACTCCTTATATAGACAAATACCTGGTAGTAAATTTGATCAAAATCAGTGCAGCCATTTAGAAGATTACTCGAAACAAACAGACAGACAGACAAAAAATATATATACTATACAGGTATAAGGAGTAACTTAGGCTATTTTTTCTCTCAGAAAAACCCTATAAAATTTCACGGGAACAAAGTCGCGGGCACCAGCTAGCTTAAACTATATTCTGCGACATATCTGTGGTAACCACATATTTGAATGTCTCTCCTAACATTTCCGTTTGTAGAAACCCCACAAAATATTTGCTTTAAATGTAATTAGTAGAAACTGATTACGTTACCTATGACTAGTTGTATAAAACTATCAAGCCGGTGGTCATAAAATTAAAATACGTCGTTTAAAACGGATCCAGAACTGAAGTAAAATATATTTTTTAACTTAAATGGGTGATTTTCATTGACAACATGTTAAAATATAAAATTTACTAAAAATGGCACATATGATATTCTGATTAACATATTAATGTAGCCTGACACATGAGATAACTTCAAAATGAAATGTACGTCAGTGAAATATTAATATATTCACATGGGTGTTTTTGCAAACGTTGGTTTATCAAAAATGCTTTTTAAATATCCAAAAACCAAGTATTTTAGTATTTGGTATTTACACAAAATGTCACATGAGAGAGAGATTTTAAATTTGCAACAATGATATACATTGTGTAGCTATAGAAAACGTATATTTGTTTTCATGATTTGTTTTAAACTGAGCTGAGGTTTATAAAAAAGGTATATTTACTTGTAAGACGAACACAGCGTTAATCAAGAAACAAACTAGACAAAGAATAGACAAACATAATAAATATATATGTATGAATGGAAGAAAAAAATATAATGACATTAATGAGTACTACTCGTACTATCTACTACCAACAATTACTATGAGTCAAAGTTACTCGAAATTAATTTTATTATTATTATAACTACTCAGTTGGTAAAGTTTTATGTCACAACTGTAGCCTATTATTATAATATGGAATATATGTGTGTGTAAGTATTTGATAATAATAATAATAATTATTGATACAGAAAAGAGGTACAGTGCTTACCTAAATATTATCACAACAACATTATTAAAAATTAAAGCAGTGGAGCTTTGGTACCCATTGTAAGATTTAACTTGAGTCATCGTATGTGTGTGTGACTGTGTGTGTCTGTGTGTGTTTGTGTGTGTATGAGTTAGTTGTCTTTAAATGTATGGTGATTGTACTTATGGGTGAGTGTTATGTGTTAAGTATGCTATATTTTTGTTGGAAACATAAATATAGTAGGTGTAAAGTCTTAGGATCTAGAATAATTACAAACTGAGCACATTTGATGCCTGAAACTAGGCAAACTTCTATTCTTTCATTTTTTTATGGTCTACCACATTCACACAACGCCATCTAGTCCCAAACTAAGCAGAGCTTATTTATTTATTTATTTATTATTAGAAACTCAACAGCTTGTTTTCCATACACATAGATAAGAGCGAAGGTACTACCAACAGTATTCTCCAATCCCTGCTTAAATACTATAATGAACATTTGTCCTTTTTGCTGGTACTACCTATTACAAAAAAAGTATTAAGCCAAGCCAGTATTAACATCTTAAGACGGCAGATGTGTAAATGTAAACCCAGTGGGTAGATGATGACAGACGGTGGGGTAACTGCAATGCAAAGTTAATACATAAAGATGTGCTGCATGGACTCATGATATTACTTAACTATCAACAAGACTATGTACGAGTAATTCGCTTACGGTTGCTGTTTCTAGCTAATTGAAATGGATCAATATTTAAGAAACGTAAATTATGGGTACGAGGCAACCTAGTTGGTTGGGAAAAGCGACATTGAATAATTTAGTATTTCTAGTGCGCGTTTTGGGGATATTGAAACTGATTATGGAAAGTAAATGTGGACAATCTATGTTGCCACGCAAGATATCATAGAATAAAGACATGTCCAACATTGTACGTATGTTAGCAAGTGACAGAATGTTATAATGCTAACAGTCATCAATGTATGATTTGTGACGATTTCTCGTCTTAAAGTTAAGAAAATGGACAAAAAGTTTCTGAATGCATTGTAATCTGTAAACATATATTTTGTAATGAGATGACCAATTGGGACTGCTGCATTTCAGAATACTCCGAACAAAAGCAAAGTAATTTACTTTTTAAGATTTGAGTATTTTAAAACTGTGTGCACGTGCACAAAATGAAGCCAAGGTTCCGGGAAGCTCTATTTATGACATCATTTTATCATCAAAATTATGTGTATTTGATTGTCTTTTTAGAGTGACTAAAAGTTATGCACTGACATTTTGTAATATTAACTGTAATATTATTATGCTTGTAATATCTATAAAGAGCATTGAGATCGCGTTGTATTCACTCGCGATCAGTCCTAGAATTTATACGCTTGTACTATGTACACTAGACAACTGATATAAATACAATTTTTTTTGTAAATACACACATATTATACATAGGAACAGCCAGACCAAATCAAACATTAAATGTTCATGCACTCAAATGTTAGAGTTGAGCGGGAATTGAACGAGCGACCTTTGGAATAGCAGTCCGTTACACAAACACCATCCGGTCGTTGAATATACGTTCGACGGTTCAATTTATTCATGTAATGTAATATCTCTTTATTCTACTTGTTACAAGTTACAACTTTGTTATTTTAAACGTTTTGTGTCCTTAACTAATGAAAGTCGCTATAAAAAAGATACTTAAAACACCTCTGGTTAGGAAACAGTTCATAAAAATTTCTTAATTGCTATTCAAAAACGCATGTTGGTTTTCTAACCATTAATGCAATAGGTAGTTTAGTATAGCAGACATGACTATTTAATATTCTTCGTACATACTGATAATACTAAACAAAAGTAAATTTATTTTGTTACAGCGGGAGTAATTTTAAGTAAACAGTAAGTACCACATAATATTCTCTACATTTTTACCTGTCATGTGTTGAAAGATTATATTTAGTGTCAGACACCTTAGTTATAAGGCTCTTTTCAACATTAACAACACACAAAACAACAAGAAGAAAACTTAAAAATTAAGTAGAATAAAGCTACAACTCTTTCTCTCATTTATATTTGCTAGACTTGGCTGGGGCACTGACGTTCTTAACTCACGATCACGAATGGTTATCTACTTTATAAAGGAAGAATTTTATTCATTGACTTTAGTATTTATTTTACTGTCAAGTCGAAGAAATACATTGAACCGCCTGTATGTGAATATAGTGGTTATAATTTAAATAGTAATATACCAATACATGCTGTGGCTTGCTCTGTAAGTACGACACATTATTTGTTTTAAAATGTAAATATTTAATATTTTAAATAAAAAGGTTATTGTTGCTTTTGAGCAAATTGGTTTATTGATGTAAAAGATATACAAATTTTTACTGAAAAAATACAAACTATGATAGTGATAGTGCTCATTACATAATTATTTGTGACGGATGGGACGGAACCCATGACCTGGCTTGGGAGTCAAGATCATGCATATATTTGACAAAGGTTAACTTCCCCTGACCAATTGTCCAAGTGAATCCATCCATCATCATCAATTGTCCATCATCAACAGCCTTTAATAGTCTACTGCTGGACATTTGGCCTCTTCTTAGAAAGGAGGTTTTGGCCTACTAAAGGACGCTGGGTAGACGGGTTGGTATAGGGTCTCTTTGTAGTGCTGTTGTCCTGCGTAGTTTGCTCCCTTAGTCGGCTCTTACGACACCCACGGGATGAATAGGGGTGGTTACACTATTTTGATTTAAATTATATACGTATTTATGTAAAAGTCTTTACAGCTGGAGAAAATGCGAACTGAGATAATAACAGAGACGAAAGAAGAAATACCAAAGACATTAGTGTCACAAAGTGCTCCCAGAAAGTATGAATTAGTGTACCGCAATCTGATAACATTCGGTTACTGGCATGTCGCAGCTATTTACGGGTTATACTTGTGTTTCGCGGAAGCAAAATGGAAAACTATAGTATTCGGTAAGTATTAATAGTACCAATTTCACTCCTTTTATCCAAGAGATTAAAACTTCCATTAGAAGTGCAATTGAAATAATATTGTGCCACTCCATACTTGGTTGACAGACAGTCACCTGATTTCTATCTGATTATATTGCAATAAAAATAGCAAACACTTCCTACACGTACTACCACTACCATGAAATGTATTAGCAGTGTCACTATTCCTGCAGCCGGCGGTCACTTCTTTTTTTAAAGACAACCCCCCCAGAATATATCCTGTGTCTCGAATTACAACACCCAGACTCAACGACTATTTGTGGATAACACAAAGTGCAGTCTCAGCTCCGTCCACTAGATTCTTCTGCCTTAATACCCTGGGGGATTTATTTGGATTTATTGTCCACACCGATATCGGCTCGCATTACAGCTTCACAGAAAGAGAACAATGCGCCCCGCACACCGATACCCTAGGAGATCTGTTTGGAATTTTATCCATTTTAATCCTAAGGGAATTTATTTGGAAGTTTTTGTAAACACCATGTCCAAATATCCAAATCCTAAAATCCAAATATCATCTTAATTTGTAGAAATAATTGTGATTATTGGTAACGTCCCTTAAGTGATAAAAAAATCTTAGTCTACTTTACAATTAAAATATACATACGAGTGAGTATACTTGCTGATGTACTATATAATGTAAATGCTTTACAGATTTAGTCCTATTTATGGTGGCAGAAGTAGGAATCACAGCCGGTGCGCATCGGCTTTGGGCACACAAGACATATAAAGCCAGGCTGCCATTAGAGATTCTACTGATGTGCATGAACTCTATCGCTTTCCAAAATACTGTAATCGACTGGGTTAGAGATCATCGTCTTCATCACAAATATAGCGATACTGATGCTGATCCACATAACGCGAGTCGAGGATTCTTTTACTCTCATGTTGGATGGCTCCTTGTAAAGAAACACCCCGAGGTTAAGAAGAGAGGAAAAACCCTTGAAATGTTCGATATATATAACAACCCAGTGCTTAAGTTCCAGAAGAAGTAAGTATGATGTGAACTATTCTACATTAAGGTATTTTTGCAAAAACCTAAGGCAACGGTAGTGAGAAACCTTGATTCATGTTACATTGCAATTTACATTGCCAATATGGTAAATTAATAATTAAATAAAAAGGGCCGCTTAAATTTTGATGATGTAAAGAAGAAACCATAGAGCATTATGGTCACAGTGCTATTTAGCCAACTGGCTTTTTGTAAGAAAAGTACAGGCAAAGTCTGAAGTATTCTGTATCTCTATATCTGAAATATATTTTCGGCAGTTTTTTGTTACTTTTTGTTCTGGCTGTTCTCGTAATTATTATTAATGAAAATAATATTTTCACACATTTCACACACGGCCGATCCCTAATTAGGGAGAGCCTGTACTATGGTAACCAGACTGCTGAGAAACATACTTTTATATTTCTAAATACGTACATATTATAATAAAGTACACTCAGATACAGAACAGATGACCGTGACTCATCACACAATTATAGGTCCTGGGTGGGACCCGAACCCACAACTAACCCGAAACACACTAGATCAACAGGCCAGTCAAATTCGCTAATATATATTAAATGAGTCAATGTTATTACTGTATTTAAAAAATACTAAAATTTAATTTCATGGTAATGTGTTTTTTTTCTGTTTCAGGTTTGCTGTACCTTTTATAGGTATGATGTGCTTTGGTCTACCGACACTGATACCTGTATTTTTCTGGGCGGAGAGCTGGTCTAATGCCTGGCACATTAACATGCTTCGATATGTCACAAACCTTAACGTGACATTTATGGTCAACAGCGTTGCTCACATCTGGGGCAATAAACCTTATGATAGACTTATTTTACCAGCACAAAATCAAATGGTATCACTTGCAACATTTGGAGAAGGTTTCCACAATTTTCACCACGTCTTTCCATGGGATTATCGTACAGCTGAACTCGGGAACAACAATTTGAACTTTACAACTAAATTTATAGATTTCTTTGCAGCGATAGGTTGGGCATATGATTTAAAATCTGTATCTCCAGAACTTATTCAACAAAGAGCTAAGAGAACTGGTGATGGAACTAATCTTTTGGGTTTGAAAGATGTTGCTTTTAAATAGGTATATTTGAAATAAATTACACATGTACATATAGAGTAGGAATATACTCAGAAATGGTTAATTAGTAAAATAATATTTTTTACGATGGTGTTTTTATGGTTTTTATTATTATTTTGAATAATATAATGAATGTAAAAAGACCAATTAGTTTTATTTGTAGCTTATTTTGTACCTTTTCTAGAAACTATTAGAAAATGCCGAATGACGTAGAAAATATAAATATTGATTTTTTATTAAATACTTTATAGTATGTTGTTAAAACATTCTTTATTTTTTTGACATACTATACTTATACATTAAGTAGATTACATTTACTACTCGTAGTAGAAAAATAAAGCTTTGTGGAAAAATCCAAGATCTAAACGTTCTTGTTTGAATTCCCAACGATTTACTTTAGTATTAATTTACAAGGTTATATCTTATGATTCATACTACACCACGACGCAAAAAAATCTTGAAGTCTTAGATGTTTTATGTGTGTATCTATGTGCCTGTATGCGACATTACAGCTCATAATTTTAAACCAACTAAATTTGGTAAGAACGTCTTTAAGAAACTTTTATTGTACTGAAAACAACCGCATTTCGATTAAGTTTAAGTAACAGTTTTAGGGCGACAGCCAACTTTCACTAGTACTAGTTGATCTACTAGTGGTGATGGCAACTACACATAATTATAATACTAATTTATTGTCTTTACAATTTTACGGTTTACATATTACATGGGCTGAAAAGTCCCGGGCCTAACACATAGATAGCGCTAGTTTTATTGCAGTCACCTTTTTTTCAGTTAATACTAACCTTCAAAAGACAGCTGTTAGAATTTCATGATATTCTATTCATTATTTTGTGAGTTATTGTGCTAAGAGTGACGCTACTTTTGTTATTTTCAAAACAAATCAAATCAAAAACAATTTCGTGTTTTAATTGTACACTTCTTCTTGATGGGAAAAAATACCGTTCAAGCGAAGCATTGGCTTGAAAAGTATTATGGGGACTCCGCTCCATCAGAAACAACAATAAAACGTTGGTTTGCTGACTTCAAACATGGTCGTAGAGACACCGATGATGCAGAACGCAGTGGACGTCCAAATGAGGCGGTAACACCAGAAAACATAAAAAAAATCCACAAAATCGTTTTGAATGATCGAAAGTGAAGTTGCGTGAGTTAGCTGACATCTCAAAGATATCAAAAGAACGTGTTGGCTTTATATTGCATGAGCATTTGACTATGAGAAAGCTTTGGTCAAAGTAGGTGCCGCGTTTATTCACTGTTGACCAAAAACGAGAACGTGTTGATGATTCTGAGCAGTGTTTGGCCATGTTTAAACGTAACAAACCGGAATTTTTGCGTCGATATGTGACAATAGATGAAACATGGATCCATCACTTCACTCCGGAATCAAAACGATCGTGATCTGAGTGGACAGCAACTGGTGATCCTCGTCCAAAGCGCCCGAAAGCACAACAATCGGCTGGAAAGGTTATGGCCTCGGTATTTTGGGATGTCCGTGGTGTAATACCGGATCGACAATCTTGAGGAAGGAAATACCATTAACAGTGAATATTATATAGCGTTATTGGAGCGTTTGAAGGCCGAAATTGCAAAGAAACGACCGCATATGGCAAAGAAAAAAAAAATTATTTCATCAAGACAACGCACCGTGTCACAAGTCAATCAAAACAATGGCAAAACTACATGAATTGAACTTCGAATTGCTCCCACATCCACCGTATTCGCCAGATTTGGCTCCCAGGGACTATTGGCTGTTCGCAGACCTGAAAAAAATGCTCGCCGGTAAAAAATTTCGCACGAATGAAGAGGTTATCGCTGAAACTGAGGCCTATTTTGAGGCAAAAGATAAATCGTCTACAAAAGTGGTATTCAGTTTAATTTCTTCCAGGGACTTCCCGAGTGTCATAACTCGGTGTGTTCGTGGGTCACTGTTGTGTATCCTGGTGTACAGGAGTTACAGTGGTGGGCGTGTGGGTGGGATTAGTTCCATAAATTCACTGTGCGGGTGCCGGGTCCAACACGTGATAGATGGGGCCAACACAACATGCGACTTCGACTGCGCCTGGGACTTGCGACCCAGGTATAGGTTTAGGGATTACTCCTTGCGACGCATCAGCGCTCGCCTCCACTGTCTGCTGTGTTGCCCCTCTATCTAACCATATCCGATACGAGCATAGCTAAGCCGCTTTGAATATTCGGTAAAGAAAAGAGCTTACTGAAGCTCGTGGCAATCCAAGGTCTTTAAGCAGGTTATAGAGGGATTTAGCTGGTACACCCCTCGTACCCACTTCCAGGGCATACAACGCAACGACATAACCAGTTTTAGTTATTTCGTTGGTTAAGTCAAAGTACTTGTTTTTTTTAATGCATGGTCTTTAGGGTTGTTCGTTTCCCACGGCACCGTTAGTTCTACTAGTAGTACACGCTTAATTGAAATTGAATAAAGAAATATGTCTGCTCTGGACGCCGAGGGATAGATATTCTCCGGTATACTCTAATGATTTTCATACGTGTCCACTAATAACTAATAATGTCCAGTCGCTGGCGGTATTTATTATTCAGTACAGCTTTTGTGAAGTCTTTTTTGTTGAGCCTTCCTTTACAAACGCGATGTTAGTTCCTATGTTTGTTGTTATTCCTTTTTTTCGCTAGCGATAAACTTATAGCTTCGCATATGTTTTGTACGAAGATGCGACGTGAATATGTCAGTAAGTGCCTGGCTGTACCTATTACCGCATATCGTACAAGCATTTCCCCATCTTACTATGTTGCTTTGATCGGGGAGAGTCAATTGAAAGTAGTTTAAAAAGTTAGTTAGTTAGTAAAATTTTAACAGAGCAGGTAACCAATCGTATAAAAGTGTGCGCCATTTCAAAGCTGGTGGGATACAAAATTCTCCTAGAGTTAACTACTCATTCTGCATTTCTAGTTTCATTGCGTGCACCTTGTAGGCCTCATTTTCATCTTGTTGTAGGAAAGATTTTGTTATTTCTTTGTCGGTCTGTCTTCTAGCATTTCCCAACCCAACTCTAGTGGACTGCGTACCCACTATTAATTTCTTGTGGAATTGGAGCCTCGAGGTCTGATGAATTTTTGTCTTTTGGAAGGGATCTAACGATTTCGTCTTGTGATTTAATATGTATGTATTTACAAAAAAAAGTATATATGTATTTATATCAGTTGTCTAGTACCTAGGCTTGGTGTGAATGTGGTAAAATATATTTTATTCTATTATTTTGACAAGATATGCATTTTGGTAAGTCTGAGGTGTTTGCAGAGTTCCGAAGGTCTTTTTAATTTCATTCCAAAATTATTCGAGCCCCTGTAGAACGTTGACAGGTCTGCAGTGTTGCTAGCCCGAGCCATGACTTCAACGTCTTAGTGATTTTCGCGTCCAGTGTTCTTAAGTGATTCTGGTTTATATCGTATACCAGAAACGGCCAGTAGAGACGTGATGTTAAGTTATTGTCGTAAATCCAAGCTTTTTTACGTTACTTATTGGCTGTTGGTCTACCTTATCAATGTTTTACGAAGTCATCGACTATTGCGTTCATAGATGGAGTACGAACTTTGCAGTCTATCTTTCTTCCAAGGAATTTAAAGGGCACGGTTTCTGATATTATCAAAACACTTTCCCCACCAATAGTAATCCCGGAGTCATATGAGGTATATCTGGTATCTCACTGGCCCAGACAAAGGCATTTGCTAGATTTTGTCCTCATTCATTCATGCTTCGTGTGTTGCGATATTATCTTTTAATACATTTATAACTGTATTAAATACTACTGGTGATAAGTAGCAACCTTGGAACAACCCTACTCTGTATTCGAGGGGTTTTGTATGTCCCTCTTTTACTGTGATTACAAATTTAAATATTTTCCTTCTTTACTTCAAGATTAGGCATGTGATAACGTCAAAGGTCACAAAATCCAAAGTGATTGAAAAATTTTCTTTTCATGACATTTGATTTTGCCATTTGATTCTGCTAGAACTAGTCGTAGTTTATGACAGTATGCTCATTTTAGGACATAAAATCTTCTTATCCGTCCACCTCTTTTGGTAAATTTTTACCTGTATTTAATATTTGTAAGACAGTTTTTGACATTTGATTGAAGTGGACTAGCTGAAGTGGATATGGACAAACTATTTAAGTCATTATGTATGAAGATAAACATTAACATTTTCTTCAACCAGACCAAAGGTTGATATTCTGTAAGATGCAATGAAATCGTTTTCATTCTTTAACGCTGCGAATGAATAGTCTTAAAACATATTGCCAGATTATTTTAATATATGCTTGTTTTGTGTTAGAAGTCTCAACTCAAAATCTTGAAAAGGTAACCCATTTATTTAATGTTATTAAAATTTCAAATAAGAAATGATATTCAGATGGTAGTAGCAGTTTCATATTGATTTGTATTTTGGCGAAATAGGCCAGTCTGCACAGCATCGAATCAAGTAAGGATGGATTTAGTGGCGGTAGGGAACAGAAACAATCTCTGATCCTGGGTTCATTTTTACATTTTTTTGTAAGGAGAAAATTTGTAAGACAATCATCAGACCTGCCGTCCTAAGTGGATTTGAATGTTAGCCCACCGAGACATCTTAACGTAGCTGACGAATGTTAAGTTGAGTCGGTGGTGTGACTAGGATGGACAAGGTGAGGAACGAACATATAGAGGAAGCCTGAAAGTAGACTAGTGGATGTTGAGGAGCAAAAGGTAATCATGGTATCGACATGCGATCCGTAGAGATGACCAAAATCTAGTGAAGAAAGTTTTATAAATGGAAGTTGACGGATATAAGAGTAGAGGATGACCAAAGAAAAGATGGATAAACTGTGTCAACGAAGATATTGATAGAAGGGTAGTAAATAGTAAACTGACTAGTGATAGAGGGAAATGGAAGAAGAAAATTCATTGCACCAACCCCAAATAAATTTGGGAAAAGGGCAAGAAGATTTCAGTTCACGTGTTTATGCGAGTAGATACATTTTTTATGTTTGTTTTATGTTACATACACACAATAACTTATTTTAATAGACTATTTAAGGATGGATAAGTTTACATTTTAACCTAGGATATTGTCCAATGTTGTGCAGCAGTAGTTGTATAACTATTACTTTATAAAATACTAGCGGATCCATCAACTTAGTCTGTTTCTCTCAGAAGCAATAAATTTTCCTCGTTTTCGCATTATTTTTTATTGATACTCGGCTCCTATTGATCGTAGCATGATTTTATGTAACCTATATTTTTCAATTCGATTTCCTGAGATGAACCCGAGCATACAAACAAAAAACTTTACATCTTTATAATATTAGTATAGATCCTTGTCCTGACAATTGACCTGACTCAAAAAAAAAAAGAATTATTCCATTTGGTGCAATCGGTGGGAAGTTATGCGCTTACATACATTTCGGCGATTCATTTTTATATATAAGATTAGCAATAATGTACAACGGCCTTTCGGCTTATTATATGGCAGTAGCAGGACCCATGTGTTTTTCAGTAAATGCCAGCCAAGACATATCCTCGACAGTGACAATTCCACGTGATTGTCATGGTGGTTGTATAAAATAAAACGACCATTAAAAAGTTCTGAGTATAGCTATGGCAGATTGTTTTTTAACATTTATTTTTATTGTAGCCTTGATTAGAGACATAAATACGTCATTCACTTTGCAGATACTGAATCAGAACAAAACAGTGGTCAATTCATTCCACATTCAGGTAAAAATTCGGCTATATTTTATAAAGTTACCAGCGACAGTCTTTATCAATCAATTTAATATCCTAACTATTATGTTCCTAAACTGACGATAAATTAATCACTAATTTATACACCAATAGATAATAAATACTCGATATCGCATCATTAAAACTCATGCGGAAAAGTATACACACGTCTGCTTTTCTACAGTACAACTCCCAACCGAAAGGGATTCAATAAATTCTTTTAGTCATTCGCTCTTCATTATCTCATGATCAACTTAACCATATACGGTTGTACAACCCTATGTTTCAGCCGCGTTCGGACACTAGCCGTTTTGGTTCTGGAGTTGAGCTTGGAGATCTACCACATCATGTAATGATTTTTTTCTTTACACTTCGCTTCTGAAAGGCTAGGCTTTATAATTATTTACATAACCCTTTTCTTGTAGCCACTGAACTTAGCTTTTGAGCTATTAAATATGATTTTTATTTAGTATAGACACTATTAAATTGCTTTTTAATCATATTAAATCACATTTAAACATTTGATTGACATCTTTGTCATTGAGATCTTGTACTGTTAAATTTTATTACTATCATCGATGAGATTTCTAAGTTTTTATACTCGATTCGTATTCATACTAGGCTATGAAGTTTCTAAATTATTATTTTTTACTTCTTTAAACTTATGGTAAAAAACTAGTATCTCTGTAAACATTTTTAGTCTTTAAGAATAGCAAAAACACAATAATTTTATAGATATCATTCATCAAAGGTGTTATTCGTACCTTCTATAATTATGTAAACTCTAAGTACACCATTTGATTTCATTTTACTCATCCATATAAAAAGAGGTCCATTTGAAGTTATCAGCATATTTTATCGTTTTATGATGTAATTTGGACTCCGGCTTAAGTATTATAATATTTGTTTACTCAGGTGCTAATCTTCACTTTATACAACGCTGAAAAAGACATATACCGAGCTTTCTGTGCCGGCAGCATAATTGGGGACGATAAAGTACTAACTTCTGCGAATTGCTTCCTTACCAATAGGAAAGCGTATGTATTATTTTAGTAGCTTATAAATAAAATAGAAAATAACATAAACTTATTTACCGTGTTAACATAGGAGACGCAAGCTTCGGTACAATTATGTTTAAAAATTTGCCGTGGCTAAGAACATGCACATAAAAAAACACTACCTCGCCACGCTTACTGTGTTACAGTGAAAGCCTGTAATGTTGCAAAATAACATTACGGGCTTTCACTGTAATATTAATGGTGTCCACCACTACTTCGAGACAGTGAAGCGAGCCTTGCACATTTCAACCGAGAAGCAGAAATCGTCTCCAGAGAGCACAGCCTACCTTTCCTACCTGGCTCTCATCTGAAATACTTCTTTGTTGCTAGGACTGCAGTGTACACGTATTTTGTAGATTATATTAGTTCTCGGCAATCTTGAAGGCGGGGACCTCCCTATTTTGTGGCTCCCTGTTAGTCAGCGGCAACCATCCCTGCGTCTATGATGCATGCTATATGTATGATTATGGTGCGAATGGTGTAGCTTGTAATTTGCTACTGACTAAACTCATTGCAGGTGAAAATACATATTATGTTTACAAAGTAAGCCATAAAAAATAATTTAATAATTTAATACCCAGCGCTAATGGGTAAAAACCATTATTAGCGAAAAAAGCCGTTTTAAATAACTTGGTTAAACACGATTCTTGCTGACTGAATTGATATTCTGACTTGAATGACTGACTTGATATTCAAGTCTGATACGACCCTAAAGCCTTCAAGAAAAATGCGTACTCCGACCTTAAAGTTCACCAAAGCACTTGTAACTCCTGAGTTGCAGAGTCAATTTCCATCAGGTGACTAATTTGCTTGTCCCTTTTATCATAAAATAAGAACTGGATATACATAAAACTCCAAAAACTATTCAATTTGATAATTGTATAGTTTTAGGAGCTATACAACAATCGAAATAATTCAATAGCTCCTAAAATAAACCATTACTTAAAAACTGTAACAATATATGGGTAATAATATAAAATGTGGTCAGAATAACCTTTCATTACAAATAAGATTTACTAGAAAGTTCAGTTTCCCGATTCCGTTTATCGTAAATTTTATTAGAAATTGTACATTAGTTTCTTTTGATGATACACAGCCATCGCAGAGATTACGACAAAGTATGGGTAGTGGCCGGGATCATACAAGTTTCTGTAAAAAGGAGTGCGGGAAACGATAACATACAGCAATGGCGGCAGATAGTTAAAATATATTCTCAGAGATTTTACAGATTCCCGGCTTACAATCTTGGTGTGCTGGTAAGATTATCAAACCTTGATCTTTACATATAACATTTTCTTTTAACAAATGTTTAAGGGTGTTCCTTAAACATTTGTTTGTGTCACGCACTTTTTTAACATAATGGTGAAAGTAAAGGTACGATACGATATGGCGAAAGAAAGATTTCGATTTTAATTTAAAACTTCATTACTCTCATTCATGATGTTAATAATGCTTCTCTCGCTCGGTAACATGATTGCCGCCATGGTACGGAGCGAGAGTTCGTGGAACTCCGTCTCCTTCTGCGAGCAAGTTATGCTTGCAAAGGAGATGGCGGAGCGGGACCGGGAGAGGTTTAGAACTCTCCCGATGCGCCAGGCCCGGCAACGGGCCAGGTACCGCAGACGACTCAGGCGCCGGAGGTTACAGAATGACGTCCGACCTCCATAAGCGCAGGCCATCTCTGCTAGGCCTGCTTCTGCTATGGTGGTAGGTGAGGCCATTTGTCACCCTAGCAGAAGCAGGCCGGGGTGGTGGCGAGACGCGCTACGGAGCGCGCGCGCCCTTTCGAGCACAAAGGGAGCATAGGGGTTCCCACATAGGAGGGGGGTATTTGGTCGGTTCGAGTCTGACATAACCACCCTTAGGTGGTATCCGAGGGGATTTCCGCACAGGATACAAAAAAAGGTTAATAATGCTTTTAATTTACCCACTGTGCAATATAAAAAAAACGGCGTGACGAGTCTATGGACCCTCGGTCAGAACGAAATTCGTAACGTAATAATTATATATATATATATATATATATATAAAAATAAATTCGATGATAATACAATATTTATTTTCACATTTTAGATTATGAACCTGCCTTGGATATTTAATAATTACGTAAACAAAATTCCTTATGAATCAGAGGACCACGATTTTGATGGAATTTGTATCGCCACAGCAGTGAAGGCTACGAAAGTTAGTTTCTTTGCACTGCTGTATTGATTGATTCATACATTTTGCAGTATAATGTTTTCAAGGCAAAATTAAAAAATATGATACTTTTTATTTTATTTCAGAGCTGGTCTATTAATAAATATGTATTTGTCGAAGAGGTGGAGATGATTAAGAGAAGGACTTGCGAACAAATCTTGCAAAGAAGCTGTAGACTTTATTTCTGCACTGCATGTGAAAATGGTTTTAAATACGCGTACTCTTTCGTTAGTATTATTACTGGAAAACTGAATTCAACTCAATTTATTTAGTGCAGTGGTATTATTAGGTATGTATTTTGTGTATGCGCTGAAGTGATATCTGTAATCCTTCACCCCACTGAATTGGTAAAAAGAAGTTTTAGTTTATTGCAAATCATGGTAATACATGTATAAATGAATGAATCTGTCTTATTGCTTGTACTGAATCCGGCAATATGACTATATGGACATGATAATCCGATCAAGCGTAATAAACACACCTCCCCCTCTCCCCCGTCGTCCATTTTAAAGTTCGACCCTTTATCAAATAATGACGCAATGCGTTAAAGGTTTCTGATTCTTAATTGAACAAACTCTTGTTTCAGGAATCAGAAGGTAGTGGTCTCATATGCTATGAGACTGGTGATCCCAACGAAAAAGACCCAAGGCGGGGAATATTAGTTGGAGTTACTTCGAAAGTAAACATCGGTTTACCCAACCTCCACATGCGGATTGGCGCGTACTCTAAATGGGTCACGGATCTAGGTTGCAAATTAAAATATAACAAGATATTGATATTCTGTGTAGTTACTATTGGAACAAATATTTTATGATAGTTAAAAGAATATTAATAATATAGTATTGTATTTGCACTTAGGCGTAGTCCGCACCGGTTTATTAGTTGTTATTATAAATAATCGTCTATAATGAAACACATATAATGAACATATCTACTAAAAAATGGTTTATTAGTAAAATACTCTTCATTACACTGATGCTTTTGTATTCTTTATTTTGAAAAAATACATATGTAAGTTTAGGCGCGGGGTTGTCGCGTACGCTACCGGCGGCAGTCACGCGTCATTCGTCTGTCGTGTACGGCGAACGGTCAGAGAACCCTGCGCTTTAGAGACGAAGTAGTTTTATTTTTACCTCATTATGTACCCCTGCCAGAAACACGTACTTACTTAATTAAAAATGTCAAATGAAGTTGATTTTGAGGCCAAGTTTCATCATTTACATTAATTAGTAACTTATATTAGGATACCGACCTACAATGAACAGAAATATGATGTTTTAATTTACTCAAACCATCAAAAAATTGTTCCATTTGATTTCAATAATATTAAGAGGTGTTTTTCCTGATTGAATTTACAAGAAACAGTATTTTTTATATTTTTTTGTATAGGTTACTGTTACCTAGTGGTCCAGGTAACAGGTAGCTAGGTTGGCAGCTGCCGCGATTTCTTTTTAGGGGTATCTGTCGGTTACCTGTTCTGTCAAATTGACAATTTGAGATAACAAGTGAATTTGTGCAGAAAGAAGAATCCTGCGACAACGCACTTAGGGAAAAGGTAGGAGGTGCCCTTAAGCTTCACTTAGCTCATCTTGGCCTCTGCCTCTGAGAAAGGTGGAAGAAGACCACCACCTGCATTATTTTGATATAGAGTTGATCAGCAATATTTTTTTTGGTTTTGAGTCGCGGACGCAATTAATAAAATAATGAGAGTAGATCACAAGAGTGTAAACTATACCTCTTGTAACTTTTCTGTGATATATTGACACTAAGAATTTTGATTGCCCTATTCGTTTTGAGATTCTTGTAGACCTATGCGTGTGTTTTTAATGTTTTAAAGCATATATCTATAGAAGCTATAGAGAATAGCCGTCATAAATCACGCAGTTCAATTATGATGTTAACGTACTTACGGAGACGTGGCTTAACTTACAAAATTGTGACAGTTAATTTATTGATTCTAGATACATTGTGTATCGCAGAGAACATTCATGTACTGTAAGCTCTAAGAAGGATTGCGGTGGTGTAATGATAGCTGTCCTTACATTACTATACTCCGATACACCTTCCATTCGAAATATGTTCCTAAGCGTAATAGTATAAAATCTGAGTACCCTTCGTAGTTTAGTTATGCATGTGCATGCAATTGATGAGAAACTAAGACTAAAATATCGCCGGTATAAGAATCTCATACACTTAATAGCTTTTCAAACTTTGCGAGAACACTGCAATAATTTAAACCGTATAGACAGGTAGAATTAGCGGCAAAACCTGCAAATCCGGAAAATTCCTATCGGAGCAAAAAAAATATTTTACTAAAGATCAAATATTAGGAATTGATCGCAATAAAAATTATAACAAAATATTGTCAGTTAAGGTGCAAAAAAAGTGACAAAACTGGTAAAAAACAGTTTTTCGCGCCTGGAGAGAAAATTAAAGCTTGAAAAAAAGTTGAATGTAACAAATGGCGGCAATAAAAAACAGAGAGAATGAAGCAAAATCCATCAGATTACCCGACATTTGTAAAAAACGCGGTGTTATTTTCAAAACTTGGAAAATTTTGAACTCGCGTTTGGAAATTAGAGAGCTAAAAGTTAGTCCTGTTAGTAGTTAGTAGTTGCAGTCCTGTAAAACTGCAACGTTAAATTTTCAGGTCAAAATGTTGTCAACTTTTTGCAAACCGTCCACTTCTGCAAAAAGTAACCTTTTTTCAAGCGAATGGGAGGGGATTTTATTTTGGGAAAACGCTATAATTTTAGCACCTAAAGAATAAAAAATAAGAATTTGGATATTTGTAGTTAAACCCTAACTACAAATATCCAAATTTTCAGATCATTTGATAAATATGCATTTGTTTAAATCTAATTAGTCCATAAAGAACGGGTAATTTTTGCGTGTGTGGAAGGGGCAGCCATCGTAGTCCAGTTGACGCAGCTCTGAATTTAAAAAAAAATGATGACCAAGGATGCTTTTATACTAAAAATAACGGGCGATCTGATAGTCCGATTTTGCTTACTTTGGATTCATTTTCTTGTTTTTTTTTATTGCGCACATTTGTTATTTTTAACTTTTTTTAGAAACTTTAGTTTTCGCTGGTTTTTACCATTTAAATATTTTTTTGGCACTGGCTGACATTGACATTCCTGATATTTGAATCTATAATATAAAAGAAACCGCTCCAATAGGAATTTTCTGGACCAAAAAGCTAATTCTACCTGTTTTGTACCTGTTACTCACAATGTAAGCACAATATTGAACTCAATATCAAAAAGAATCTGAGAGCATTTTGGAGATACATAAAAAAAAAGAATAAAAATTTTAGGTCTTCCTTTGATATCTAACTGCTATCTAAAAGTGGGATGGTTTCCTAACGAATGAAAAAAAGCCAGATTACTACTACTCTATCTATAAATAGGGCAAAATGTTAAAAATTATCGCCCATAGCCATTTTATCATGCTTCTCAAAGCTTTCTGAATCTCTTACATGTTAATATTTAACCAATCGCCTAAGTGCGTTGTTATCGCCGAATCAGCACGGATTTCGTTCAAGCCTCAATTCTGCTATTTTAGACCCCGGTCTAAAATAGCATCTGAAGCGAAAACTAAAGTTAAACAGAGGGCATGTGTTGGCCTCCGAAGAACCGGTGTACGGGTACCGGTGTTCGGGCCACACATGCCCTCTGTTTAACGAGCGTAGGGTATGGTCCAAAAATCATTAACAAAGGTAAAAAAGATTAGACTATTACTATCTTACCAATATTATAAAGGCGAAAGTTGGTTGGAAAGTGGTTAGGTTTCAGATATAGTATTTCATAGTGAAATCTATCATAAAATTATGGCAACCACAACCCCTTAAAGTGTCTAGGTCGATTTAACCAGTAACCCTGTATATATGTCATCGACAGCTGGTTGGAAAGTGGCCAAAATCCTGGCCTATGTCCAGCAGCGGATTATTCTTTAATAATCCGCTGCTGGACATAGGCTTCTCATTAGAAAGGAGATTTTGGCCTACTTTATTGGGCAAGCTGGCCAGACGGGTTGTATAGGGTTGTGTAGTCAAGTTTTCCTATATATATACAATCTGAATCTCCAACGATTTTTATAAAATTTAGTATTCAGGGGGGATTAATCGTCCGACATGCCACCGATAGGTGGTATCCGAGGAGATTGCCGCACGGAAAAAAAAGAAAAAAAAAAGGGGGGATTAATCGATCTAGCTTGGTTTCATTTTTAGAAATTTAGCAAAAAAATCCAGGTACTGTATATATCCAGGAATAGTGTCATGGCGTCTTGAATGACGTCACAGTCTGCGAAACAAAACTGTTTGCATCTGTGTCCAGTGTTAACTGAAACTGTATTAAGGTGAGAAAATATGCTAAAAACGAGAAACAATAAGGAGTAACCTGCTCTGTTGTATGAAAGCGTCAACAACAACAATGATGTTTTGCGTGGCGTGATGTTACACTTTTCGATTGGTGTTCGCTGTCACGTGATTTAATGCCTATTTTGTTCAAATTTATTTTTAAAAACATTAATAATCTTTAATTTTATGAGAAATAGACTGGTTTTTCCTTCTCTATGTCTCTTCATTTATAACTGGAAATTATAAACCAAGCAATTTGTGGACACAAGCCTATTTTACATAATAATTTCTTTTTGCTATTACAAACCATCGACTTCGGCCCAGTTTGTAAAGTTAACTACAATTTTGGTAATGGAAATTATAAAACAATGTATTAACTACACAAAAATAGTAAAAAAAGGATATAAGTTTTATAAAAAATCTTAGACGAATATCTTGAAAACGGTTGGGTTTGGGATTTGTATTTCATAGTGAAATCTATTAGATACATAGGCATTAACCCCCCTAAAGTATCTAACCCCTTCGGCTGCCATCGAAACCAATGGTTCGTATCCAGTTGAGGAGGAGGAAAAATGATCTTTGTACGCAACCAGTTTCGAACGAGGAGTTTCTTTTCTTTTAAAGAACTAAACCAGTATATATGAAACTCTTTTACTTGTCAACCTCCTTTAATGCATTTTTTCGTTAATTTTCTCTGTCATACAGTACTTGACATCTGATTGAAGTTGCCGAGGTAAATACCATGTTATATCTATCATTAAGTAAATTATTAGTAAAATCTGCAATTACATTTTCTTCCGCAAAAACAAAATTTGATTTAGTATAATTAGCAATGAAGCCCTTTCAATTTTTCGACACTGCTAATAGAATTACAGAATGTACTTTGCCTTAAAACGTGTTGTCAGATTATTTTAATATATGCTTGTTTTATGTTACAACACTCGCAAACTCAAAATCTTGAAAAGGTAATCTATACATGCATATAAATTATGAAACTAGCATACCGAAATGTAACTTATATTTTAAATAAAAATGGTTAATTCCTGGGCAGTATCACTTTAAAAATATATTGCTCTAATTTACATAATCGCTATACAATAATAATTTATGTAAATAACCTGGTTCATTAATATAACAGTGAGAAGAATATACTTTTTAATAAGAATAAATATACATTATGAAATAGGCCTCGGTGGCCAACATTATATAACAACGGTAACAATGAAACCTAGCCTACAGCGAGGGCGTTAAACCAGTTCGCTGTAGGTAAGCCCGGGCGTGCTGTGTTTTTTTTGTTAATATCTGATAAGGCAGACCCTCAACAGTGCTAGTACCACCTCCCTACCATAGTTGGGTAAAAACAAATACATTTTTTTCATTTTATTGCAGCTTTACTCAGTATCATAAAATATGTTATTCCCTTGCAGATACTTAATCAGACCCAAGCAGTGGCCAATAAATCAAAGGTTGAGGTGAGAATTCGGCTGCACTTGAAACCATAACTAGATTTACGTGCAGCGTATTTTATCAATTAATTTAATATCTGTTGGGCACAATCTTTTTTTCTGTCCTTTATATAACCAATGTTGTTTTCCGTAGCTAAGGCATCACTTCCGTTTTTATAAAATTAGTTAGCGTTTTATGTCGTCACATTCGTTATCAAAAACAGCTGTAATATAGACATACATAGTTTATAAAATATGTATTTGATCCGTCTATTATTTTATACTGTAGACTGATGGAACTTGCTACACATATTAAGTCACTTGTACTTCCACATTAAATTCATTAAACTTGACCGGTTTCGCTTCACGGCCTTTTTAAAGTGTATTATGACAACAACTATACCATACCAACCAAATAAATGTTGTGGAACAGTACAAGTAACTTAATTCAATATTTGATCCATGTACTCTCTTGACTAACAGAAATGTCTTTCACGAGTAACCATGTTACCTGGCCCCAACCTGTCAGTCCCATCAACGACGTAAATACGTATTTATATTAGGCTCTCATACACAAGGATATACTCGATATCGTATCGTATAATACTCTTATCGTATCGATATCGTATCTTAAAAACTTACGGATATACGAATTTTCGTTTGACGTAGATGCTACTTATGACAATCCTGACACAGCTCATGCTTTTCCACGTTCATGAGACAACGGTACACCAAAAGGCCATTTCGCGTAATAAAAGTTCGGTCAAAATTCAGTTCCAATCAACTCACGATTTCGCAACTGTCATATAATGTATTTTCGCAGCAAAATATTCAAGCATTACCAAGACTAGCAGATTACGATTCAATTTTCCGTTACAATCTATACCAATGTTAAATAGAGGAAAGATTTGATTTTTTATTTGTTTCTTTGTAATGGATAGGCTCCGAAACTACTTGTACCATTTAAAAAATCTTTCTCCTGTGGAAAGCTACATTATCAGCGAGTAACACAGACTGTATTTTATATTGAAAACATAGTTCATTTCCTACAAAAATGATAATAATTTTAAGCAATGTATCTGTATGACATGGATGTAGCAATTTCACTATTTTTATTATAATTGCTAATATTAAATTAGCGACATCGTAGTTAAGAGTGAGTAAGCAATGAATGAAACGGAATTGATTTAATCAACGGTATTTATTTGGTATGCTTCTTTTTCAAAATCAAATAACTAAATCACAATGAGATCCCGTCAAAACTAGCGTCAGCATTGTTACATATCGCATAGTACTAATTAGTTAATATATTGATTTTTTTTATAAATATAATTAAACTTAATAACTGAGTGTCAGAACTAATTTTTATCCTGTAATATATATTTTAACAGTAAAGTTGAGAATAATAAGTCTTTGATAACCTATGCAGTTGGAGATTTTTAAAGCCAGCATGATTAGATTTAATTATCTGTTGATTGGCACGCAATATAAAATTTATATTAATTTTTTTAGAAAGCAATGTTATTTTATTTCATAATTTAGCCATTCTTTTAAGATAGTGTTTTTATAGTGTAGTGTTTTGTTTTTGTGAAATTGTGGTATTTTTTGGCGCCATGGATAAACTGAAAATTCGTACAATTTTCGAATATGTGTTTCTATGTGGAAATACCGCTGCACAAGCAACACGAAACATTGAAGACATGTACGAGACTAATGCAGCTAGCATAAACATGGCCCATTATTGGTTAAATAGTTTTTGATCTGGCGATTTTGAGTTGAAGAACGAGCCTCGCGCTCGGCCAGTTACTACAGTCGACAATGACGAATTAAAGGCGGTAGTGTAAGCGGATCCAACTCAATCTACGGTTAAGTTTGCTGCGGGCTTTGGAGTTAGTTTCAAATGAACATTGAAGCACTTGCGTCACATCAGAAAGCTTAAAAAGCTGGATAAGTGGTCTGATGGTCGCTTAGTTCTTGTGGCACAGAACAGAACAGCGAGACCTACGAGGGAATTCTGAATCGAATTGTTTGTCTCAGTGAGTGGACCCGGGTACAGCGTGCAAGCTCACACTTCACGACAGTCAATCGTAAAGGTACTAGAGCTCTCCGTCACCCACCTTACTCACCAGACCTTGCCCCAATAGATTTCTACTTTTTCAAAATTTTGTCAATTTTTTAAGCGGGAAAAAAATCAGCAATCGAGAGTACAGAACGCTTTCACTGTCTTCATCGCCTCCCATACAGCAGACTCCTACAGTAAAGGGATGATGGCAAAATTGTGTAGATAATTCGGGCCAGTAAGTACTTTCATTAGCTAAAATACAAAAATAACCAAAATTTTAATATTTTATAATTTTCCTACAAATCTCCAAATTCATAGGTACAACCTAATACTTCAAGTAATTTCAGCTTTCTTCAAGAAATAAATCTCCTCTCCTTCGCCTCTGTGCTTATGAAATCAAATACTTCACTATAACAACAAAATTTAAATGCAATTTTTTTTTTTACTTTTTTTTTACTGTCCCAAACTAAGCAGAGCTTGTACTATGGGTACTAGACAACTAATATAAATACTTATTTACTTTTTTTGTAAATACATACATATTATACATAGAAACACCCAGACCAAATCAAATATTAAAAGTTTATGCACACAAATGTTTGACTTGAGCGGGAATCAACCCGCGACCTTTGGAATAGCAGACACAAACAACTACGCCATCCGGTCGTCAATGAATGTCACGACCACGCATTATATGTCACCGTACTCAAAAAGTTAATGGTTGTGATATTTTTTGATACCATGGCCCTGACAATTTGTAACGTGCTTGATGTAACTTAAAAGCCAGCGTAGCCATGATTTCGCAAATCTTAAGTAATTGTCTTAAGCCTCACCAAATGAGATACATAGGTATTATGTTTTAAACAATAGTGTGACACTGGTACTGACGTTTAAAACTCATACACGGCGGAGACACTACATTCAGCCATTTGAAAATCTGCTAGGACGGGGTGGAAAATCCCTTCGGATCTCCGGCTCCTCGGGGACTCAGGAGCCAGGAGTATGTGGTGATTCCACTAAAAACCACCCCGACGGCCGGCCTTAGGTGTCCTACTCTGGGGAGGACCCGGACCATGTTATTTCAGGTCGGGAGGACGAATTGACACCATGCCTAATCAGGCCCTATCCCAGGGGAGAACACTTCCCCCTTCAATCGCGGCATGGCGGCCCGATCGCATCTTAATGCAATCAGGCCGGCCATTCCATTCCCTACCGCAGCAATCAATCTGCCACCAGAGGTCGCCACTCTCTGGCGGCCCGCGGCCCCGTCGACGGCTGATATCGCGACGGACGGATCGGACGTCTTCTACGTTCGGCATTGGCCCTCTCCCGATCCCGTTCAGCGGTCTCTTTCTGGAGCATTACAGCTTCACAGAAAGAGACCACTGCGCCCCAGCCCTCCTCACCCGCCAGCATGGCAGCAATGATTGCTGGCGGGGACATTCGCCCTGTACCTACTTATCTTATCTTAAAACCATGAAAAGCGAATTGAGAGCTTTTGGTAAATTTCTAACTACCATCTTATTTTACACAGAGTGTGTTTGGTTAAGTACAATTTAACCATGTAAAATTTAATGTGTTACAGTCACGGAGGCACATGATTCACATTGGTTCTGGAGTCGAGGTTGGAGACCTACCACATCACGTAACGTATTTTTCCTTTTCGCTTCATCTCTAAAGTATGAACTTTAACGTATATAATATTGTTTACATGTATGGTGTGTACAAAAAGTAAAATTAACATTTATTAATTTTACAAATAAGGAGCGTTCTTCGTCTTTCATGGTCTCTTAAAGTTTAACTTAATTATTTCTTTCGTGTAGTAACTTGCACTTAAGGACCCGCTAAAGCATTATGGCAACGTCTTATGTTTTGAAACTGTGCACCGATGATTGAAAATATAATATGATATATTAGGAATATGACGTTTCTAGATTATTATTTTGTAGTTCTTAAGTTGATGATAAAAAACTGGCATCTCCAAACCCGTTCTTAGTCTTTAAGAATAGCATAAACACAATCATTTTATAGATATCATCTCCGGTGTTATTTGTACCTTCTGTGATTAGGCAAATTGTAAGTGCACCATTTGATTTCATTTTAATCATAGAAAAACAATGGGTACATTTAAAGTTATCAGCTATTCTATCGTTTTATGATGTAATTTTGACTCAGACTTAAGTATTATAATATTTGTTTACTCAGGTGCTAATCTTCACTGTATACAATGCTGAAAAGGACATATACCGAGCTTTCTGTGCCGGCAGTATAATTGGGGAGAAAAAAGTACTAACTTCTGCGAATTGCTTTCTTACCAATAGGAAGGCGTATGTATTATTTCTGTGGATTATAGTAAAATAGAAGTATAGTGTACATTATTTTTTTTAACTGTAAATATAGTAAATAATGTAATATAAAATAAATAAAATTAGTGTCACAATAGCTTTTCTTTACAAACAAAATTAACTAGAAATTGCCATATCTTACTAACTTAAATTGTATTCATCTGATGATTCAGCCATCGACGAGATTACAATAAAATATGGGTAGTGGCCGGGATAATACAACTTTCGGTAATAAAGAATTCGAGAACCGATGACATACAACAATGGCGGCAAATTGTCAAAATATATTCCCAGAGATTTTACCGGTTCCCGGCTTACAATCTTGGTGTGCTGGTAAGCTTATTAAGCCTTAATAAGTGTTTTTATCTAATATCTGCTCATTCCTTACATAAATTATAAAATAAATGGTTTACACTGCGAGCAAAATATACAAACTTTACTATGCGACGTTTACTCTATTTTAGAGGCTATGAAGATTGATAGTAAATTATTGACTGTGTAAGATTGAAAACGATACAATACTGAAGTGTAATGTTTAAGATTCGTATAAAGATTGCAGATTTTATGTTCACATTTTAGATTATGAACGAGCCTTGGACATTTAATAGATATGTAAACAAAATTCCTTATGAATCGGAATACCACGATTTTGATGGAGTTTGTATCGTTGCAGCAGTGAAGGTTACGAAGGTAAGTTGTCGAAAAATTAGCGACGGTAGGTATTTCTAAAAATAAAGGTTTTTAAAATTGGACAAAGCAAGTATACGATGTCTTAATTTCTGTTTGTACTCGTTCGATCGCTACCGTCCACCACCGTATTGATAATTAATAATAATAACATCGGATATCTGAGACACAACGCCATCTAGTTTCCAACTAAGCAGAGCTTGTACTGTAAAAACTAGATTAACTGATAGAATACTTATGTTTGTAAACACATATTACACAGAGAAAACACTCAAATTCCGAAACAAATATTTGAAGAACATACAAACATTAAGTTCGACCAGGGTATCGAACCCGAATCGATTGATTCATATACCTCGTAATACGATGTTGGCAAAATAATATTAACTAATATTATGCTGTCTTTGGTTTCAGAGCTGGTCGATTAATAAATATGTATTTATCGAAGAGGTGGCGATAGTCAAGAGAAAGGAATGCGAAAAAATCTTACAAAGAAGCTGCAGGCTTTACTTTTGCACTTCACTTAACAATAGGAACAAATTCGCTTACTCTTTCGTTAGTATTGTTATTGAAAAACTGAACTGAACTCACTCTCAACAGTATAATTTTAACAGACATTTAGTTAAAAGTAATATTACGATCAAAATACATTCCATCAAACAAATTTGCATGCTTGATCCGCAAAACTGAATCTCCGAATTGTAATGTGTGTGGAGGAAGATGTACAATATGTTCATGGTCTGACGAAATGTGTCAAGAATGATAGGGATAAGGAAACTCTATCAGAAGTAGTGGAGCTAAACTCATGTGACATAGCAATTTCCCAAATGATTCTGTCATCACCTACATTTAATGGAGCAAAGACATTTCACATGACTAAACCCGTAATGATTCCTTTATGATTAAAAAGTTTAACGATGATAGAAGTACGATTAAATGGTTACAATAGGATATATTAGAGGCAATGGGAGAGGCCTATGTCCAGCAGTGGGCTGCGATAGGCTGATGTTGATGAATAGGATCTAACATTCGAGAGAAGGCGGAATACTATTTTTAACACGCTTTTATTAGCTTGATCTGTATGTGTGTATGTATCTATGTAACAGAATCTTTCAAAGCAAATTTTCACCTACTTCAAAACGTCGTATTAAATTGAAATTTTTCACACTTATCAAGGACCGATGACAATACAATATTTTGATAATTTTGGCTCATTATCCTGATCAGGATCTTCACCACCCCACGCATTTTTACGATAAAATGATTTTTCTTTTTGAAGTTTTAGAAAATTATTTTCTACTTTTTAGTTCGTCTGGTTACAAAAGCGTGTTTTTTATTTTTTTAATTATAACTTATTATAAATAAATGTATGTTATTGCTTGTTCTAAATCCATCGAAATGAGAATATGAACATTGGCTAATCCGTTCAAGCGGTAATAAATGCATAACTTCTCACCTCTATCCATTTCAAATCTATTGTACTATACTACTATCTTTTTCAACTTTGATCTTCTGTTAAGAGAGGTAGTACAGATGTTTCCTAAGCCTAATAAAATTTCTTTTCAATCGGACATGACGTAATGATCTAAACATTTTTGATTGTTAATTGAACAAACTCTTGTTTCAGGAGGCAGAAGGTAGTGGTCTCATATGTTATGAGACTGGCGATCCCAATGAAAGAGATAAAAATCAGGGAATATTAGTTGGAATTACTTCGCAAATAAACATTGGTTTGCCCAATCTTTACATGCGGATTGGTGATTACAATAAATGGGTCACGGACCAATGTTGCAAATTAATGCATGACCAGTTATTGATGTTCTGTCTAGTTAATATTGGAATACATATTTTATGATTTAAATACAAATATTTTTGCACTTAGCTACAATCCGCGCAAACTTACTTACTCAGTTGCTATTATAACTATAAACCAACATATTATTGCAAGATATAGAACCGTTTACAAGGCATTTTTTTTAATAGCTAGTTTTTAGGTTGTATCGATTACGATATTAATCGATTTTGAAATCGATTTAGGACCTTTCATGTGCTTTACACCTTTGGTTGATTTTTTAAATTGCTAGACAGTTTTGCCATACAACAACATAGTGGTTTTTATTTAAGTCATTTCAGTAGCTTTTTTATTCATTGTGTGTGTTTTTTGTTCTAGTCATTGCATTCAAAGCCTTTTTTAACAAAGCAGGAAACTGTATATGTAAGTGTATATGTGTTATATCTGATCTCTCGGCGTTGATGGTAGTTTTCTTCCAACCTGGCTATTTTTCCATTCAGAGCGATTTTGCTTCCATTTATATTTCAATGGACTAAAGTAAGAGACATGCAAAAGTTGTAATATATGAGTAGCGTTTTGGGGCAGGCATATAAAACTAATGTCGTTATTTTGTCATTTTAATAACACTTGCATTTATATGCTGCTAGACTCCTCTCGTATCATTATTATTATTTTTTTCGATTTTTTCCTATCGAGGAACATTACAGCGCAGGCTAAGTAGATCAAGCCATGATCCCTCATTGCGTCAGGCATGGCTGCAAACAGCATATAAAAAGAAAACTTTCATTCTTTTTATATGCTGTTTGCAGCCATGCCTGACGCAATGAGGGATCATGGCTTGATCTACTTAGCGTGGTTTAGCAGACAGGTTCAGGTTTAGACAAAGTAGTTTAGCAGGCGACAGTTTGTTCCTCACATTACTATGACAGACAAAAAGAGTAGTAGATGCCGAATCTTGAAATAAAACAAATCAAAATAAGAAAAACGTTTGATATATTACAGGCAATATGAGACTTAATATATATACTAAAATATTATAATGCACAGAATTAGAACCACTTTTTTCTAAAAATGTATTATATTTTGATATTCTTGTGAAAAACGAACCAGCGTAAGGTCGATGACCGCTAACTATTCCAACCAGTAAACCTTTTTCTCCTTCTTCTGGATCACCGGTATTTGTACACACGAGTGGTCCACCAGAGTCACCCTAGAAATCAGAGGTCACCTCATTAATTTAAAAGATATATCTGCTTTCTATTTACATGGTAGCCTCTCTGCTAATTCAAGTAAAAATAAAGTATGATCATTTTGTCAAAGCCCCACGCGGCATTAGCAACAAAATTTAAACGAAATAAGGATTTACAGCATAAAGCTTACTTTTTCATAATTTAGGGGTAAATAAACAGCCAGATGACATGATGGTAAGTGACTACCAACGCGTCGGTAATCTGCAACTGCAACTCAGATTAACAAATGCCTTGGCGGCTTACGAAATTATGAGGGGGGAGTACGCTCTGTTCTTGATTATTGTCACTGCAGGTGACAATAATATTATACCTGGTGTGATATAATATTATGCCAGAAAAACAATTGCCAGAAAAAAAAAATAATAGTACCTGTTCATTTTTTTATCCATTATCTGGTATAGTCCGATGCAAACTTAATGGCGGTTCTGAAGTTACCTACAAGTCGACTCGACTGTACGTAGACAGTATATCCGCGCATGTGCAGTGTACAGATGTAACTTACACACTAAAAGGCGTGTCGTGTGTCGCCCTGCCGCCGCGCTCATTTACGTCCCGCTGCTGTCTATTAGTGTTCTGCGCATCGAAACGCACGATCTTCGCCGCTGTTAGGATTGCATTAGACTATAACTGTTTGTCTATATAATAGTGTACGAATCCTTATTAAGTTTTTAACAGATTATCCAATCATCGGTTTTTATAATATGTAATCTTAATTGATTAATTTAGGTTGGTGTTGTAATTTAGGTTTAGTGAGGTAAGGTTGTTTTTATGAGATAGCAGATTTTTTTTAGGTTATTTTACTAGTTCATTGTATAACCATTATCAGAGTTTGGACTTTATTCTTTCACATAATTTAAGTACGAGTATTATGTTGCCACGGTTTGGACATTTGCGTTAAGATCTTTAGGTGCAAAGGGTGCACTGCGAACGCTTTGAACGCCACATGCCACCTACCTATGAATGTATCAAGACACTTGTGGAGGCACGGGTGTCATGTCCTTTCAATACAGAGGGAGGATCCTCCGACCAGGCGAGGTGATCATGCCTGGCGGGCCGCGGCCCAACGGTTGATGTTGGGAAGTTGTATGCATGCTAATCGGCGAGAGAATTCATCATATCGCGATACAAGATGAGCAATTCTCATTCACTCCGTAGTTTGGTGTCTTTGTTAGATGGCGCTGTAGTATATTTCTTCGTTTCGCCGTATGTGGAAGTCGCTACTACTAGCCCCAGTGAGCGGGGGCTGAAGTCGGCTACACACTAATGTTTTTTTTAACTAGGTATGTTATTAGAGCTTGCCACTTTAATGAAGATTAATTTCAATAATTGTCTAAGTAACTGATGAATTACTGTTATATATTATGTACAAAAGACAAACCTGCGCAACGTCGCTTACTTTCGTATCAGTGCAAACGAATAAATTCATATTTCTATTATGGGCTTTGTTACACGAGGATGTAGGCATTATGTCCATATATGCCAAAATTAGATAACTTGTTTTACACTGGAATTCAATTAAAGAACTAAATTAATTATAACGCCGACAAAAATATGGTGTGTTATTATAAAATAATATATAATAAATTAATAAGAGAATGAAAGTTTGCCAGTACCCATATAATGTTAGGACTACATTGTACACTTCAATCTAAAACTAAAGGTTTTGAAATAACCAATTATAGTGCAACTAAATCAAAACCAATGCCTTTTCACGTTTCAAATTTAATTTTGATTTAAACCTTTTTTTCTTTTTCTTTAAATAATTAATTTCTTTAAAATGCAACATCAATACTTATATTATAAATGTGAAACTGAGTTTATCTATTTGTTTGTTTGCTTTTACGTCTAAACCACTGAAACTATTTCAAAAATTATTTCGCCAAAGGAAAGCTACATTATCAGCGTGTAACATAGGTTACTTTTTACCGCGCGGAGCTGCGGCAGAAATCTAGTAGAATCTAAGAACGGAAACGAAGTATTTACCCCTTTAGATAGTCTTCCAAAACCTGAGACTAGGCATGGTCCAGCATATTCAACATTAGTTGATGCAATTGGTATAGGAGCGACGTATTCATTAAAATAAAAACATTTTCTTGTCATCTGGAAGGTAAAATTTGTAGTACAATAAAGTCATTCAAGATGTTACTCAGGTAATAACCGAGAGCAATGGCAGCAGCATGTTAAATTTTTTTAAATTGCCTAACTGTAAACAATAAAATAATGAAATGAAATCATATGAAACGATATTTATTTCTATAAGTAAATTTCCTGAGACTCACTTTGGGAAAAAAGACGCCGAAACAAACCACAGAGGTGTCTTTTTTTTAGTCCCTAAACAAAGTTAAAGAAAACTGTGCCAGTACAGTGTAGGGTCTGGGTATGGGTAGGCCTTATGAAGAAAAGACCATAGTTTTGAGACAGCCTGTCCATACAGACGGCATACGAGCCCCAACCATCGTGTAGCCTAACCGATTTTAGTCGAGATCAACGACACGAAGCGCGACACTACCGCCAGCAGGACATTTGAGTAGGCCGAGGAAACACTCAATACCACCAGAAAGTTTCTAAATATGAACTAACATTATAAGCCTACACTATACTCATTCATATTTACACTTACAAATAAATAAAATTATACTATACAATTTAAGTTCAACAGAAAAATAACAAATGAAATACGAAATACGAGAATATAATAAATGTCTATAACTTTCAAGCATAACATCAATGAAAGGAAATGATAGTAAATGCGGGAGTGAGCAGCATCAATCCCAAGCAAATTGGTCATCTAAATAATCTCTAACCGTGTAGTAAGCCTTTTTACATAGTTTTTGTTTTAGTAAAGACTTTAAATTTGTTAATACAAGCAAGTTTCATGAACTAATCATGAAATTTTAATATATATATAAATTTTATTGTATTCTGTCATAGAAAATAGTCTTAATTGTCGCTTTTTTGGCTTTGTGTGGTTCTAATTCTCAAAGAGCAACACCATCATTATGCCATCTTTAGTTTTTCGTAGCTCTCCGTAGCTTTTAGTTGCCTGATAAACGTATCAGGCAACTAAACGCTACGGGGATGTTTAACGGGGTTAGTTGATATAGGCGCTTTTTATTTTGTGGCAATAAAGTCGTCATCATCTATACATATATAATTTAAATAAGTAATTAAAAATGTTAAGTTGCTTTGTGTACGCTTCAAAAACTCAAAAAGTTCTGCACCGATTGAGTTAAAATTTTGACACGATATACAACAAGCTTCAAATTTGGTTATTATCTATTTTTAGCTACCACAATGTGCCACAGAGAAGCGTGGCCGGGTATGGCAAGTATTTTATAAAAACTGAATCGGGTAACTCGCCTGATTCTATTTGATCATAGCGAAGGGCAGGCCCTTTAAATTTGGATTCTTATCCAAATTTAAAGGGCCTGCCCTTCGCCGGACCTAGGCCTACTTGGACCAGGTCCTTTGTTAACAGAAATGGTGCGTCTCAACATGACCTACCTAAACCAACATAAACTCCCTACCTAAAAACACTAAATTTTGGCCATTGCTTCATATTCATAATGAGTGCTTGAGTGCAATGATGTTTCCTGACAGGTGGAAGTTAACTTGCATTATACTAGTGCCGAAAGGTTGATCAAGGGTTCAAGGGTTGATGAATACAGGCCTGTTGCAGTCCTGCCGACCCCAGCGAAAATTTTCGAGTCCGCTATCCAAAATAGTATTCTGTTTCAAGTGAGCTTACAGCTTGCAGATGCTCAGCATGGATTTCGACCCCAAAGGAGCACTACAAGTAACCTACTCGCTTAAACAGCAGAGTTGGTCCCGGTGGTGGATCAAGGAGGTCAAGTTGACGCTGCATACTTCGAGTACCGGAAAGCATTTGACCTGATCAATAATGACGTGCTAGTTAAGAAGCTAGCTAGCATCGGTTTCACCCCTCACTTGCTTATTGGCTTTTTTTGCCAGTTACATGCAAGATAGGCAGCAGTACGTGGAATGCGGGGGGCATGTGTCGGGTCCATATTTCACCAGGTCCGGTGTAAGTCAAGGTAGCAATCTTAGGCCTCTGGAATTCATTATAAAGATTATTGATCTATCCAGAATAGTCCAAGATGCGAAATGCTTACTACTCGCAGACGACCTCAAACTTTCTCTCCCTGTAAACAACTTGGAGGAGTGCAAGAAGCTTCAGACAGACATAGATAGGGTGGTAACCTGTAGTAGAGACAATCTCTTGCAGTTGAATGCTTGAAGTGCGTGGCTATTACCGTCTCTCGCTTATGCGCACCCATCTCGTACAATTATAATGTAGACGGAACGCAGATGATAAGGGTGACAGAGGTTAGGAATTTAGGGGTTTGTATTAATACTGAGCTAAGATTTCGTGATCACATAGTAAAATTTTGTCAAAAAGCTTATAAGACTTTGGGCTTTGTTTTACGAACAGTAAAGGACTTTGGAAACCTAAATACAATTATAGCATTGCATAACGCGTTGGTTAAAAAGTCAGCTAGAAAGTAACGCAGTCATCTGGTCCCCACATGAAGCTAAGTATAGCGTCATGTTGGAGCGAGTGCAAAATATATTTTTTAGGTTTTTGTACTTAAGATACTACGGAGTATACCCATTGTATCCATTAATGTATGCAACGTTATTTATTCTAGGTGTGGTGGGATACAACGAACTGAGGGGCACAAGGAAACTCATACTCATCTCGTACCTGTTCAGGGTACTTAGGGGTGGGATACATAATGCAGACGTGTTAGTCTTAAGTCTGAGTTAGCATATGTGTTCTATTGCTCACTGAGTGGATTCACAATAACAGCATTAAGAATTATTTCTTATAATAAATAAGTAGATGGTATAACACTATCGCATTGCGTTAAATCTGGAATGATAGTTGTTTTTAATGGAAGGAAATAAATAAATAAACCTGGATCTAGAATATACGAGTAATATTGAAGCTTGACTTTCTTAATTTATAGTAATTTCCCAACAACCAAGTATATGGTATGAATGATAATCAGATTTTAGATTTTATCGGCTCTACAGAAAACAGTTTTGATTCTTGCTTTTCACCGAGTGGGTGCTTACCGAAGCTCAAAAACCCCACCCCCCTTTTTCCTTACTCAAAAAACGGCAACGCACTTGTGAGTCCAAGTTGCAGGTGTCCATGGGTGGCGGTAGTCACTTACCATCAGGTGACCCGTCTGTTCATTTGTTTTCTTATCATCATCATCAGCCTGTCGCAGTCCACTGCTGGACATAGGCCTCTCCCATTTCATAGTCTTCTTATATCAGACATAAAAAATGTTGCACATTTCGGCATCACTGATTAAATGAATGAATACATTGGACAGACATGACGGGTTGAGCGTTCGGTAACCCCACTTATTCGAGGAACAATAACGAAAGAATTACTTCAGATTGGTTTTCTGTGAGGCCGTGGTATAACTCTGACTGGCCTATCGAGCCGAGCCATAGCCACCTAACAATAAAACTTGACAGGATTGGGGATGATCCCTTACAACATGGCTATGATTTATCCAATCCCATGTCAGTTTCGCAAATGTAATGTCACCACGATAAATTACTTCAACATCGTGTTAAGAATAATATATTTCTTCCTTTCTATTTTAATTCTCTTGCTTTCCTCTCTCTACGGTTAATAAGTACTATTCTATTTACACATACTTACTGCTATAGCGATGTCGTGCATGGGAAATAGATATCTTCGAGGATAGTAAGCATTGCATAATAATCTCCATTGCCCATTTGTTTTACTGTCGATAACAGAAACAACGTCATGGTTTTTCAAATTGCCGGCCACAGCATATATGCCACGTAGTTTATTTTTACCTATATATCTAGAAAAGGCAATGTACAAATATCAATATTTGTTTATTCCCATTCTCATTATCATTATTTTATTTTAATACAGGTTGACAGAGATTCAGAGAAGAATGTAAGACATTTTCATCAATTTACTTTACCATTTCTGAGTAATAGCAAAAGTTGATTTAACTGGATGAAGATAAAGCTAGTTACGTAAATAAATGTAAATGTATATTAATACTTAAAACATTTAAGTCACAGAAATTTTTAATACCGAAATCATGGTTTGGGAATGTTGAAAGGATGAGCGAAGAGCGAATGACTAGAAGAATTTATAAGACCCCTATGAGTGGGCATGCCGGTGCGGGCAGGCCCAGAAAGACATGACTTTATTGTTTTTTTTTTAATTATTAATTTTTCCTTTTTTTAAATTAACCGTTGGTAGTTATTCTAAAATACTAAATTGTTAAGTCAAGCACAGGACATAACGATGAGAATTTAAATATACATAGTTTAATTTCAAATTTTGTTTTTTTTTTTGTTAAAGATTATTCACAGATAATAACGCAGAAGTAAAAAATTATCCACATACATAGATCATCACACAGAGGTTGGCAGTATACTAAATAAGAGCGTCGCTTAAAATACTCGTAAGTAGCGAGCGTGTATGAAAAGATGGATGGTTATGAAAGCTGCGCCTGTCAACATAGTGAGGCGTGAGTTAATGATTATGTAGTACATATTTAATGATATGGATTATTAAATGGATTTTGGTAATATCAGTAAATCTATTGATTATAGAAATAGACGAATAATAAGATACAACTCCCAACTTGTAACATGCCACAGAATATTATTGTAATTTGAATGCTTTATTGTGGACACGACTTCTATACTTATAATTAATGCAGAAAGTCTTACCCGCTAGGTTTAAGAAACTGGCTTTTGATGTCTTTCTTCGATTGGACACAATGTGCAGCTGTGATTAATTTCTTAGGGGCAACGATTACAGCGCCGCAAAATGTTCCATACAATCTTCTACTTCTGTGTGTTTCATTATATTTAACTAATGATTTAAACGCCACCTATAATGTAAAAACTATTTATCACCCTAATTGTTAAATTACGCAAACTTTCCAGGCTGATGTAAGTTTAATGACTGTTACAATGCACAATCGTAACTTATAACGATGGCACGTTATTGTAAACATATAGGAAAAAAACAACACACAATGCACCAGAAACGTAACTGTCAATGTATACATGTATATGTAACAAATATCTTGAGGTTAATATCGATTTCCACGGGAAGCAAAAACAAGGCCATTTTAAGAAATAATCACAAATACACCCGTTTTGAAAGGGGTTTTTTGTACCTCTAGTGCATGTTCGGCGTATATTTTTACTACATTTATTTATTACTAATAAATGCTAACCTGATAGGGAGCATCTCCAAGCTGGGCTGGCCAGCCATTGATAACACGCGGTGTGTGAACATTTTGAATATCATTTAACGACACGGTTTTTGAAAAACACGTAAACAGACATAACAATATACAGAAACACTTAGGAAATATGAAAGTAATATTTAATGGGTCTCGATGAAAATAAATATTCACAATTTGGTAATACGCTTGCATGTTCCGAAAGAACAGAAAAAATTGTTAAATTTACAACTTTTAACTTCGTACTTAATATTCGACTACATTATATTAAATACAGCTGTGGGTATAACTTTTGTATTAGTTAATTTATTGCATCGAGTGATTTGTAACATAATAATTTTGTAATTGCATTTTTTTAATTTCACTCGTACAGTTTGTTGTTGATATATACTGTCAATTTTGAAGTCAGAAACATAGAGTAAAGTGTAATTATACTCTTCCAAAATAGTTTGAAATAGTGAACTAGAGAAAATTGATTTTTAGTTATGTTAATTGTTTTTTCTCTATTTCTTTGAATGTCGATTCTCTCAACTTCGATTACCAACTCATGAGAAAAATTAAATGACCAGCAGAAATGATTAATAACAGCGCGTTTTCTTCAGCATGAATAAAACCAACTTCGTAATAAATGTTTGCTATATACCCATAGATCAAACAAAGATTGCCGTAGCATTATTATCGATTTAGTCTGTATTTTATTTTCTACAGGATCAGGGTTTACTGACATTTAGATTTGGGGTTAGATTAGCACTGCGCTATTATTGATAAATTTTTGAGTATTTTTATATTTCTTATTATGTAAATCAGGCGTAACTCAGTGTAAAATACTCTATAATTTATGTCTCATATTAAAATGGTTTCTGTGCTAAAAATAACTAGATTAATTACTGTAGTGCAGCTATGTAGTATATTATTTATTTCAGTGTCAGCGAAAAGTGCTGCTTTTGACTTTAAGGTATTGAGCAACTTTTATCACATTCCTTAACATACTAATAGAAAAAGTAGGCTACAATTCAGTATCTACAATTGTACTACAAGGCGTGACATACGCCTTGACTACTCCTATACCAGCCTTCTTCATAACATTTCCCCACATCGCTTTCTAGTAACGTTCCCACAAGACTTGAATATTATTCTCCATGTTGGATAGAACACATCCAGTGATTGCATCTAGCTATCAATCGCTGCAAGCTCCTGAGAAACGGTGTCCTCAACTTCTTGACTTAACTTGACTTAGTTGTGCCCTACACCAAATTCGAAAGTTTGAAATACCTATAGTGATTAAAGGCACCACAACTTGCCTACGCTTCTTGCATATTACATGCACGCTACGGTCTAGTATCTTAAACTCAATGACTCTAAGATACCGCTGCGAGGCAACATTAATAATAGCGAGACAAAAAACTTTCGGAGCAATGGTTCTATAATTTTAAAACTGGTTGTTTAAGATATTTTATTTAAATATATCTATGTATCTAAATTCATATGTATTTTTTTTTTATAGGAAGTGGTAAAACTAAACAAACGAGTTGGAGAGCGAATGATGGACAAATGTGCCAGAAGAGTATTTGACGGCAATAGAGCTAATTCAAGAGATTTGCCCTACCAAGTATTATTCTTTTTCTATTATTATTTATACAAACTAATTTAAAAATACCACTACAGTATAAAGTCTCCGATAGCCTTTTATATAATTATGTAGTAAAAGGTAATTCTGTAAAAATTGCATTTCTATTTAAAATACGTTTGTAATTTGTATTGTTAGGTTAGAGATCCAAACTGCTAAGTGAAAAGAAGTGGGTTCGATTCTCATAATTTGTTCTGTGTCTGGTTGTTCTTTTACCATAATATCTAAGGATTTAGAAATAACTATACTTTTCAGCAGTCTGGTTACTATACTATAAGCTCTCTTCCTTTAATTATTATAGTTTAGGTAGCTCGAGTAAATTGCTTACTCCATATTTTAACTTATTACTTACTTATATATACTTATAAATTCAAATAATAAAAATCACAGCAACTAACATTTCCTAGGTGAAACAAGTTTATTACGATCGGTGCCTAAATTTCAGGTTACTATCAGAAAAGAATTCGATAATGGAAGACAATGGTGGTCCGTGTGTGGGGGTGCCATTATAACTGGATTACATGTGATAACTGTCGCTCATTGCTTTGCTGACGTGTTAGAGTGAGTAGCTCAAATTATATTTTTGTTAGAAAATGATAATAGATGGAAGAAATCAAAGAATCTTCCGAACTCTCTATCAGTGTAGGAAGAAACGTGACGTGACGCGACGATACCAGCCGATACGGGACCGCAGGAGAGGGGAGACCTCTGGTGGCAGATTGATTGCATTAAGGCGCAATTGGGCCGCCACGTCGCGATTGGGGTGGGGGGGAGGCTTTTCCCCTGGGATAGGGCTGGATTAGGCATGGTGTCAATACGGGGAGGACTTGAAATAACATGGTCTGGGTCCTCCCAGAAACCTGAGGGCAGTCGTCGGTGTGGTTTTTAGTGGAATCAACACATACTGGTGGCTCCTGACTCCCTCAGGAGCAGGAGATCCGCAGGGATTTTCCACCCCGTCAAGAAAAAAAAAGTAGTAACGTCATATTTGGTATGTTTAGGTTAGAGGTTATAAATATAGAGGAGTGTTTATTTTCCAACATATTATTTTCAAGGGACTTCCCTTGAAAGTTGTATTACAGATTTCTAAGGTATCTTGGTCAATATTGTCTCTATACGGAGAAACGCAGTTTTACCTTTAAATTGTTATCTGTCTATTACAAACAAACAAAAAAAAACTTAATGGCATAATTTTTAATACACGCTTAGAATAATCTTGATCTGTATCTCTCTCTCTATCTATGTATGTATGTACGAGTATGTAACAGATTCTTACGAAGTAGTTTTCATCGACCTCATTAACTTAAAATTTGCTTTTTAATTGCTTAATTAACTTAAAAATAATAACAAAGTGTAATGGAATAAAAACTTTTGTGAGTGGTATTTATATTAATCAAAGATGTGTTGTTTTATGTACAAATATACAAACTAAAATAAATTTCGTTGAAAAAGACTAAAAAGTAGAAAATGATTTTTAATTATAACAACCGAAACAACCGACATATCAAATGTTTCAAATCGTTCATTGGCTATTTATACGGTAGAATAATTATAAAACAAGAGTCATCCAACCTTCAAGGCTGGCAAAACGCTTGTGACTCCTGAGTTGCAGGCGTTCATGGGCGGTGGTCACTTTGCATCAGGTGATGTAAAAAATAATAGTAAAGCAACCCCAAGGTTTAGTATAACCAAAAATTCTTCCTCTTTTTAAGTTTTTTAGAGAAGATGACAAGGATGGTATTGAACAAGAATAAAACTCAGCAACAGGTAGATAAACTAAAAGGCAATTGTAACAGATTAACAAATAAAAGTTTCGCGTGTCTTTTTTAGGCCGCAGCGCAATGGAAATCTATCTACCTACAGAGTGATAGCAGGAACAACTCGTTCTAATATCCTTTTGTACGGCGACATGGAACAGAGAAAAAGTCTTTTAAGAGAACTTGAAAAACATTTAGAAACATGGATGACTATAGCTGCTTGTCACGAACATATCCTGTACAGACAAGACGTTGAAGATATAAACAATGTTGCTATATTACAGGTAAGTCTAAATGTTGATCCAAATAAGAGCTGGGATGAGTATACTTAGGATAGATTATATTTAAGTAGTTTGGATTTAAAGGTTTTTTTAATGAAATAAAGCAAGCAGACAAGTCATCTGATGATAAGTGGCCACCCACTAGTGGAAACCTGCTATTATTGGTGAGAATGACTCTGTATTGGTTTTCTGTGAGGCTGTAGTTGAGCCAACCTTTTTGTACTAGAGAAGTAGTTTTACAAGCTTAGATTATGGACTACTAATTTTTTTTTTTCTTTTCGATAGCTCACAAAAGCCTTTGTCTTTTCGGACACAATAAAAGCTATACGGATGATCACTGATGACACATTTTACTCTGTTAAATTATCGCCAGGCTCACTCTGCCTCGTTTCAGGATATGGAGCGTACGAAATGGTATGATTTTGAACCGATAAGTTACTCATATCATCATCGTCATCATCATCTTTCTTGCCTTTTCCAAATTTATTTGAGGTCGGTGCTATGAGTTTTCTGGTTCCATTTTCCTTAAAAACTCGACATTCTTTTTCACATATTCCTTCATTTCATTGCTAAATGGTTGTGGCTTTTGCTTCTATAGCCAGCTGAAGGTCTGAAGTCAACTCTTGGGAATGTAGTCGTTCTTTATACGTTGTGTAAAAAAAAAAAAATAGGAAATTCCAAACAGTCGGGGTTTTCCTATTGTCAAACCAAATAGCTTCACAATATTTATCACATTAATTCTGCTTTTCACTTACTTGTGGGTAAAGCAGATTCTTGGCAAATTTCAGATTGTTCATATAAACAAACCCACATTACGTGATAAACTTGTATAGGTAGATATATTTAATCGAATGACTTAAGCTACCCGTGTTTACTTATATAATCTATATTTGTAGTAATATAATAAACTCGAAAAGTTTTATTTGTTTGTTTAAATGCGCTTATATCTAGCCTTACTAATTGGCTTCTGCCTTTTTTATATGTGATATGAGGTATTGTATTTAGCATTGTTCTATAACTCTCTGGTAACTTTACATATGTCTGCAATAGTGTAATAGTCCTGTTAAAATAATATTGGCCCGGATCATATTAAAAGAATTTAATGCCTATTTTCATAACCCATAATAAAATATTTTTGGATAAAATGCCGAAAATTTAAGTGATTTATGTATGAGCATTTATTACTTGGTGTCAAAATCAATCATATTCTTGACATGTTTTAAACTTTATTTGTGCGTAATGTGTAATAATGCAAAAGGGTTTAACTGGTTTTGTCATGGCCACTGCTTCCCTGACCCTCCTTGGGAATGACAATTGCATTCCCATAATATAATAATATAATAATAATATGCCAGGTTATTAGCGCATCGAGCGGTTTGAAATATTTGTTGGAAATAGCCAACTCATATCAATTCAGGCTATTAATTTGGAATTCTTTATTGATTAACCACTTTTACTTGAATGACATGCGATTAAAGTAAAAACTACTACAGTAAACTTATGAGAGGAGATGTCTTACATCACCGAGGATAGAGAAGACTCACGCAGACTTACACAAAAAACAAGTTCTTCAGGTGTATAATCTTTACTAAAAAAAATGTATTGCATTTCAGTTTACAGTGTCCACATTTCTTAAAATGGCTTGTATCCCTATAGTTGATTTTACTAAGTGCAAGAACAGTTTTTATAATAAATTGAGGTCAAATATCACCCAAATTTGTGCTGGTTCCACAGGCACTGTTGAACGAACATTGAAGAAAAGCACTTGCACGGTACGATATCCAGTTACGATATCTATATATACATACATTACATTACATAAAGGTTTGGTCATATTTCAGGGTTGTAAATTAGACCGTAAAAACCACTTAAAGATTTAACAGTTTTAGTTCAATTCGCTGGTTTTTCTTGTACCGATATCTTATTTTGGAAGATACATATTAAATTTAAATATATAATGACAGCCTAACATGAATGTTAGTACGGGTATTAAACACAGAGGAGCTTTTCAAAATTATTCATAATATCAACACCCTTTAGTAGTCCACTGCTGGACATAGGCCCCTCCTTAGAAAGAAGGTTTTGGCCTACTATACCAACCTATCCAGACGGGTCGGTATAAGGTTTGTTGTAAGTTTTCCTATGACCCTCACTTTTCTATAATACTAACACCCGTAAATGTCTATGATTACTGTTTCGTAACTGTAACTGTGAAAAGCGGAAACAGCAGAACTACTTTAAACTGATTACTACAGTTGGTTATGAATGTTATATATGATTTAGTTGTACTTAATTATATATAATTTAGTAAGTTCTAGTTTAAACTTTTAACATTGTTTAATAGTTTTAAAATAAGCTATTTTTTCCGTAGGGCGATGCTGGTGGTCCACTTGTCTGTGAAGGTTTGTTGGTTGGTGTAGTGTCCTATCTCCAGGGAAACTGTTATAGCACACCAGGCATCTATACACTATTATCAGGGTACACCATCGCCCCGTATAGCCCATTTAAACTAGTTGAAGCGAGTGCAAGTTCTAGTTTCGCTAAAGTGAATCATAATATTGTGCTTTTGCTAACCGTACTTTATTGTCAATACATATGTGCTGATATCAGATAACAATTTACTCCGAATGAGAGAGAAATAAAAGAACTGAAGTTTGAATGAAACATATTAAACAATATTCTGAATTTTTGTCTTTCATTTAAGAAGAGATGTATAGCTGCGGACAGTAAAATGTTAGTTAACCAGAAACTAGGTTGGCATTCCTTTGATTCTGGAAATTTACAAACAACGTACGAACATTCGAGTGGTATTTGTCATACGATTTTGGGGTCAACGATAGCTTTGACAAACAGCCCAAAAATGTATTTTACATACGATCACTTAAGTTAGTATCATACACTACATTCAGATCCCAATAGTACCCGGAAATTCTCATTTCAAAATCCCGTGCCAGGCAATTAAAAAATATTTTTGCGTTAGGTTGGTACAACTGTCATTGATTGGCGGTAAAAAAATAACCTAACCTCTGTCGAGTATTTTGTGACTAATTAACATTTGTGACAAACAACTTTTGCGGTCGCGGCCCTTTTTACTATGGCCGATTTTGTTGAGCAACGCTCTTGTATTAAATTCTGTGTTGCAAATAAACATTCTTATTAATTTCTTAAAATGTTACAAAAGAAGTTCGCAAATAATTGTAAGTCCAAAACTCAGGTATACGAGTTGTATATACCATTCAAAGAGGAACGTACAGTGGTCGAAGATTTACCACAGGCTGGAAGGCCATCCACTTCAACTGACGACGATGATGTCAATAAAGTGTAGCAAATTGTAATGCAAAATCGTAGGGTGAGTGTGAGAGAGATAGCCAGAGACATCGTTGTACCAAAAATTACAGTACAGCGCATATTGACTTAATTTGTTACAAATGGCTTGCCTCTCTGCTCTACTCGTGCCAGAGTTTTGAATTTCATGCAAAAACAGCGCACAATGGACGATGGTAATGAGATGCTTTCTGAAGCACGACACAATTCCTCGTTTATGAAACGCATCATAACCGGTGATGAGACATGGGTATACGTGTACAACATGGAAATAGAGCAACAAGCATCCGAATGGGTCGTTTCAGGTGAGCCGAAACCAAAAAGGACCGCGTCTAACCAAGTCAAAAATCAAGGCATTTTTGACTGTTTTCTTTGATTATCGGGGAGTAGTTCCAATGGGCATGACAGTCAACGAGGAGTATTATCTCTAGCTATTTGTCGCAAACGGCCAAATTTGTGGGTGGAAAACGCATGGATATTGCACCACGATAACGCGCCAGCTCACACAGTCATGGTTATTCGTAGCTTTTCGGCCAAATGATCTACGAACATCGCTCCGCAGGCACCCTAATCACCAGATATGGCACCATGTGACATTTTTCTCTTTCCTAAACTTAAATTACCGCTTCGCGGAAAGTGTTTCGAGACCATAGAGGCGGTGAAAAAATACGACGAAGGCGATGAAAGCCATTCCGATTTCGGCGTATGAAAAGTGTTTCGAGGTCTGGTTGATGTACTGGCGTAAGTGTATTGCCTCTAATGAAAGTTACTATGAAGGGAACAAAATAAATTTGAATAATTAAAATTACCCCTTGTCTTTTATTTACAATTTTCGGGTACTTTTGGGACACAGTTGTAAATATTTCATGAATCTGGAAATATCTGATTTATCTGTTTTATCTAAACTTTGCCAAGAAAGTTTCCTTTAGGTAAGAAACCCATTAAGTACGAGGGGAGGAGAGGTTGGGATTGTATCTTTTGACTGGTTTGATGACTTAGTGGTTAGTGATCCTGACTGCTAAGGCAGAGGTTGTGGGTTCGATCCCTACCCAGGATAAATAATTGTGTGATGATAAAATGTATTTGGAAATATATCGCTAAAAAAATAAATTCATACTTACATTATAAATGTGAGAGTAAGTTTGTTTGTTTGTTACGCTTTCACGCCTAAATTACTTATTTCCGATACGATTTCAAAATTCTTTCATCATTGGAAAGTTACATTATCAGCGAGTAACACAGCTTTTGTCACAGCTCCGCCCGTTTATCACAGTAAAAAGTAGCGTATGTTTTACTAATAATGTAGTTAATTTCCATGGGGGAGTAATTTTTTAAATCGGTTTAGTGGTTTAGGCGTGAAAGCGTAACAAACAAACAAACTTACTCTCACATTTATTATGTAAGTATGTTTTTTTTTTGAAAATGGAGAATATATGGAGTGTCGAACTTTGAAGTCAACTAGGATAAGAAGATGCGCTGTTTGTTCGTGGGCGTAGGCGTACTTACTCCACATTTTGCCGAGTATAATTTAATTTTTTTAACTTTATTCACTACCATATCATGGTCATGTTCAACGAACATGTACTAGCGGAACCGATTGCAGTACACGGTGCCGTTCTCGAAGTTGTTCAAAATTATGTGTACCTCGGGCAGACATTGCAGTTGGGTAGAAACAACTTCAAGGACGACGTGAACAGAAGAATTCAGTTAGTTTGGGCAGCGTTTGGGAAGCTACGTCGAGTCTTCTCAGTGTCGATCCCACAGTGCCTTAAGACGAAAGTCTTTAATGAGTGCGTCCTACCCGTCATGACATACGGAGCTGAAACGTGGACACTTACGGTGTACGGCTGTTCCACAACTTCAAAGACGTTCAACGTGCTATGGAAAGGGCTATGCTCGGCGTTTCTCTAAGGGAACGCATCAGGCATGAGGTGATCCGGCAGAGAACCAAGGTCACCGGCATAGCCACCGATAAGCAAGCTAAAGTGCAGTGGGCTGGCCATATTAGCCGCAGAACCGACAACCGTTGGGGAAAATGAGTTCTTGAGTGGAGACCGCGTCTCGACAAACGTAGTGTAGGACGCCTACAGGCCAGGTGGAGTGACAATTTGCGCAAGATGGCTGGCAGGAGCTGGATGCGGGAAGTCCAAAATCGATCTAAGTGGCGTGCAATGGAATAGGCCTATGCCCATCAGTGGACTGCGATAGGCTGATGATGATGATGATGATTCATTACATGATTTAAAATTTTAAGAAGTAGTGAAGGCTTTGGTAGTAAGTGGATAATCTGTATACGGATATATTGAGGAGTGAAGCAATAGCTCATGCAGGTTAAGGTGGCATTGCTGTAATTCGAAAAGTCTGTTGCGAAAAAGTCTATAGTAATCTTAATAATCTGTCTTGTTGATTTCCAAACTTCTAAAATGCAATATAATCTATGACTAAATTTTATAACACCCACGTCTATTTGACAGCTGTACACTATTTATATGAATAATTAAGAAGCTTATTTCACACAGGTTTCATCCGTATAATATTCTTAGGTCATTGGACGTATTCAAGAATGATGTACACATAATTTAAAAATGAATGGTAAAAGTTCGGATGGCATTCAGTCGTCTAAAGAATAGAGCCATTTATTTTTGGTAAAGCATGAAATCGTTCAAAATGGTATTATTTACGCACCTAACGATCAGATTTATAGAAATTATAACTTCTTGGTTCTTATGTTACATGGTATTTGGTAAGATGGTAATAGTTGCTGAAGGTTTAATTGATAAAACCAGTGTCCTTAAAAATCTAACCAAACCTGGATTTAATTTTGCGGTATCGTCTATTTTCTAAATTATTTCAATTTTTTTTTTACATGATTTGAAGTTGGATAATTTAACTTTAGTCGTTTGGTTGTAGCAACTACTAGCAACTAACGCAAAGTATTCTCCCATGACCAATCAGTGTTCTCTGAGAATATATGGTGGACAAAAAGCTGCCAGAGGCTCTGTACCGTATCAGGTAATGTTTTATCTACTAATATACTATTATATTTAAATGTATGTAGTATGAACACTACATACATTTAAATATAAAAGTCGCGACATTTAAATATAAAAGCGAAAAAGACAGTCAACGGTCAAAAACACAGTTTCACCGCAGTGTTATATGTGTGTTATATGTTATATGTTTATACGAAAGTATGATGTTGGTTGGTCACGTGCATGTGTGCACAACATTGGATACTCGTAATATACCTACTTATACCTGTATTGAACATCTTCGTATTAAACTCTCGGGTACAGCACCTATTTCAAAGCGATGCTAAAATTTATCACAATAGTTTTTAGTACCTACTACGATTACCTCGCTTCCACTGATCTCGAGTGCTGTCGGTTTGTCCCCATTTGGCCTGTTTGCTTCTATCACAGAATATCTTTTTTGATTTCTGTTACTTTAAAAGCGAACAGCGAAAGAGGGTTATACAAAACCCCTCGTAATACAGAGTAGGGTTGTTCCAAGGTTGCTGCTTATCACCAGTAGTATTAATACAGTAGTATTAAATATATTTATTTTATTCTTTTTGCACAAATAACAATTAATGACTGAATGCCACATGCATTTTTTACCAGTTGACCTTTGCGTGGTGGGGAAAGGTTTGATTGCACGGATCGCGTTGTGGTTTAAGCGGTCGCCACGCCGCAAACTACTACGATGAGTGTTGTGAGTCCGATCCCCACATAGGACGACACTTTGTGTGATCCACAAATTGTTGTTCTGAGTCTGGGTGTTATTTGTGTCCTTTTCATGTATGTTTGTAAAGTCCCCCGCGACACAGGATATATTCCTAATGCTGAAGTTGTCTTTTAAAAAAAGGTCAGAGTAGGTGCATTAGAAATTAAGTTTTTGTGTAACGAGTATTAATAATTAAGGATATGGACAGAAACAGTGTGACAGATACACATACATGTATACTGAGATACACATACATATATACTTGCTGAGTTATATACCTACATATATATACATATATTACAATATATAAAACTTTAGGGATGTGATGAATTTGCTAGTTTTGAGAATTCGAAATCGGACTTCCGTCTTAAATGAGAGGCGACTGGGTGCTATCCTGATTTAATAGATATATTAATAGACAATATCGCAACATACGAAAAGAGGTGGGGCTACCGGTTTAAGGTCAATAGAAAATATATCTTAGCATTCACGGACGACCTTTGCGACCCTTACATGTAACCCGAAGCAGGGCCAAGAACTACTGCGTAAGGTGGATGGTGGTGGTGGTGGTGGACTTCTGTACCTGGTCGAAGGGGATGAGGACAAAACCTAGCAAATGCTATTGCCTTTGTCTAGGCCGGCGAGGTACCAGATATACCTCATATGACTCCGGGATTACTGTTGGTGGGAAAAGTGTTTCAATAATATCAGAAACCGTGCCCTTTAAATTCCTTGGAAGAAAGATAGACTAAAAAGGTCGTGTTCCATCTATGAACCCAAGATAAAAAATCATCAGAGCTCGAGTCACGGCTCCGATTCCACAAGAAATTCATGGTGGGAATGCAGTCCAGTAGAGTTGGAATTTGCGAGAAGACAGACCGCAAAAGAGATAACAAAATCTTTCCTACAACAAGATGAAAACGAAACCTACAAGGAACCAAGAAATGCAGAATGAATGGTTAACTCTAGGAGAATTTTGTATCCTACCAGCCAGATATTTAAGATATTTAAAATTCTGAAGTAATATTAGCTGCGGTAAGGTAGTTGTCATGATGGGTATACTGCTTTTTATGTGTGTAAACCCCCCCGGGCTGTCACTCCACCAGGGTTTTCGATACGGCAGTGTATCAAAAATGAAATGACTACAACCACACGGTATCCCATACTACGCCTAAAATAAGAGACAATCCTGGAACAGCTTTTATTAAGAAATCCGCAAAAGGGTGATCACCATTTTCATCCCAACCACCAAACATCCAGGCACATGTGAGAGAAGTCCAAAGACACCACCGAAGCCCCCCCTTGAATACCGATGAGAGAGGTGACTGTCTGTCTGACTCAAAAAGGTAACCTGTGCAAGAGTACGGTTATAGTATAGAGAGGCAAACGAGCAGGCGGGTCACCTGTTGGTAAGTGACTACCGCCGCGAATGGAAATCTACAAATCAAGAGTCACAAATGATATAATCCTATCCTCTAGAGTCACAAATGATATAATCCTATCCTCTAATATCAGAGAGAGGAGGAGAAGGTAACTACCTCCTTTGGGAAGTAAACGAGGCTGCTTTAATTTGGGAACGGATTAAATGAAATGCCAGGCTTTGTGTTACGAATTAAACATGAGAATTTTACTTTTAGGTAGCTTTAAGAAGAGTAGTACAAAGAGGTAGACGATGGGTCCTTTTTTGTGGAGGAGCAATTGTTACTCCAAAGCACGTTGCAACAGCAGCACACTGTTTCGAGGCAATGTAAGTACTAAAGGAAAATAAATACGAAGTATACAACAACCATACAAGGAACAACACATACAACACATAATCAACATCATCAACAGCTAAAATAGTTCACTGGACAGAGTTTGTTTCAAGCCTTCTTTCTTTTTGCAGTGCTGTTGTTGCATGCTTGTAAAAAATAAAGTTTAAGCGCATTCGTGTTTAGTGTCTGCGGTCACTGTTAATAGCACATATTTCTAGCAGGAACTGCTTTTTTAACACCCCACACAGGGCCTTCTGATTTCAAAATAGGCAGAGCCTGTGGTATTGACCCGAAATAAATTACACTCAGTAGCTGAACAGAGATTCGTTCATTTTTTTTTGTTTTGTTACATAACTACTTGTCCTGGATGGGAAACAAACCTACGATTTCTAATCATTATGTAATTTATATTTTATCTCAATAGATGAAGAGAACTGTTTTTTTTTTTTAAATATTAACTTACTAAAATTATTTTATGGTATTTGTTATTAGGAGATTACGACAGACGAGAGTTATAGCTGGCACTGTGGCATCCAGTGTGCTGGTGAGGGGAAGAAGTAAATTTGAGAGACTGGCTTCCCTGATGGAAATACAACGTACTGAAACTTGGAGAAAAATTGCTAAATGTTATGAACATTCGCGATATAATAGAAAGAAAATAGTTAATGATTTTGCTGTATTACAGGTAAAAATTTTCATTGCAGTTAATTTTTTTTCCAGATATTAGAATATTCTTATGGAACCCTACAAAGTCCGACAACAGTCTTGCTACAAAACTTGGAAATTACCTAGTACTTGAGATGTGAAGGTCTGATGGCAGTCGATCCGCGTAAAGAATCGAAGTTTAGACGTATCATAGTAGATTTAAAGCCGCTTCCAACCTCATTTGGGAAAGAAGTAGAAGGCTCAGAGGAAGGAAAAGGAAGAAGACTATTAGTTAAACACATGGAGATGTTACTTTTTGGAAGACACATTTGCCAAGAACCTGCGATACAAATCTTTCATACTTTGCCTGGTAGGGGATCGTCCCTACCAGGCAAAGTCATTTTACTATTAAATACGTACCGCGAGCAAAGGGGTGATGTTGTTATAAATTGGGAGTAGTTTTATGTTAACTTTAATAAAATGTAATTTAACTGTCATTTTTAACCATCTTTACAGATTATAATAGATTCTTAATTTGACCGATTTTGTTTAGTAGAGAGTACAATTTTTTTTTGAGAGGAATATTTTTTTCAGGTTTAAGTGGGACCTACCTTAAGGTCCCACTTAAACCTGAAAAAAAATATTCCACTACCTCTAACTTTTCAACCCTTAAGGGATGGATTTTGATGAAGAATATAACTTAATTCTGAAACAAAATTAAAATAATAAAGTTTATCGTAATATGTAATTAATAAAGTTCATTTCAAAAATTATGTAGTAGGTATTAATCTTTTAAGTTTGCGGTGTTAGAATTTCTTTTTTCTAGCGTGCACCCAATTTATCCGCCTTATCTATGACTAACAATAACTGTTCCAAACACGTAGATGTTTCTTTGGCTTATGGTCCATCAACGTCGTGCGCGACTGTCCTGCGGGGTGACAGACGGTGGCGGGGACGAGGTACTCAAGATGTCAGCGGGTAGCGGGTGGTGTAGCGGGAAAGGGAAACACTTCTCTTCGTGTGTAGCCGAGTTCTAGAATGAAGCGCTACCTCGTCCCCGCCACTGTCTGTCACCCCGCGGGACGGTCGCGCACGAGATTGCCGGGTTATAGCAGTTGTAAGTAAGTTTGATTATCCATTAAGTGCAGTTTTTGTTCTTGATTTATTTTTATCACACAGATAGAGAAAGCTTTCATATTTTCGAGTGTGGTACAACCAATCCCCATATTGACTGCAAAGGTAGAAGAAAGTGTAAACGTACCGGACGATACACTCTGCTTGGTTTCAGGATATGGCTTAATGGAATATGTAAGAATTTATTCTTAACTGCGGTTTCATGAAACTTTTATGCCTTTTAATTTTTTTTTGAAATAGTCGGTGCACTATTTTTTTATTACAATGTGTATAATATAATGCAAATCAAGTACTCAAGTAGGCAGGCGTATTTTTTTCTGTAAAGTGGAAACCTTATCATTATTAAAATATTAGTTTGTCTTAAATGTAACTTTGATGTTTCAGCGTCAACATTCTCTTACACTCCGAAAAGTTTGTGTGCCAACAGTGTCTTATGCTTCCTGCGCACGATTTTATAGGTTAGCCTCAGACAAAACCCAAGTCTGTGCCGGTAGCAGGGGGAAAGATAGTTGCCAGGTATATGTTGCTATTCGCTTATGCTCCTACCTCATTGGAGAGATTTACAATAAAAATTTCATCATCGCGAATGAAAATGTAACTATATATTGCACATCAGTGGTATGGTATGCAGCGTGTCATAGCAATCCAATGATTGTTAGGACACTGCACAATATCGTGATAGCACACAAAAATAATTTTTCAAATCTACCTAATTGTTCCTCAACTTAGTGTAATTAAACAAGAACATTTGACAAAGAAAAAAAAAATCAATGTAAAAATTCATGAAAAGCACTTTTATTTCCATTTTAGTTTTACTTCAGACACCAGCTCCTCGCATGTATTAGAATGCACAATAAATATCCTAAGTTTTACTTCACTTTATGTCTATAAAGTATAGGTATTATTAATTCCTTATCGTTATTGTTGACATTTTCTGTCACAATAAACCCATGCTACAAAAGCTATATAAACAAAATGTGGTAGCTTTTACTAGGTGTTATCAACATAATATTCACGGTGTCTGTAAATTGGTTTTATAAACAGCTGTTAACTATTTCAGGGCGATTCTGGTGGTCCAATGACGTGCAAGGGATATCTCATTGGTGTAGTATCATTTGGTGGCAAGTGTGGTGAGGCACCTGGAGTCTACACACGGTTAACGGGTTACACAAGCCCTGGGACTAAAATTAAATTTACTTATTGTAGTTCATATAAAACATATTTTAGTATACAAGCATTACTAATATTGTTTGCATCATCGGGTTCATACTATTACATAGTTGTTTATATATCATTATGAGTTTTGTTCTAAATAAATTGAATATACGAGTAAATTTGAACACCACGTAAGGCTCATAAAGAATACGATTGATAAATATTCTATATATTATATACTAATACGTTCGAAAATATGGGCATTTTATTTGTACTAAATAACCAATTTAAACTTTTTACATCTACATGGAACTGTAGCATCACATTCTACCTGTCTATTCATCTCTATCCGTGGTTTAGCTGAACTCGGAGACAAGTATTAAGAACCTGCAATGTGGCACGAGTTTTTGTGTTTAATTAACACACTGTCAGAGTGATGAATTTCCTTTTCTTGTCTATTCCTCCTCTTCTTGTCTATAAACACGCAGGACACCAGCACTGCAGAGAGAAGGAAAACTTGACACAAACCCTATACCAACCCGTCTGGCCAGCGTGGTATAGTAGGCCAAGACCTCCTTTCTAAGGAGAGGCCTATGTCCAGCAGTGGACTGTTAAAGGCTGTTGATGATGATGATGATGATGATGTCTATTCCATTATTACAGGTGTTGTTGGATTGTGAAGATATTGCAGTCATCTCAAAATGATTTTTTATTCACGGATGCATTTGAGACATATTGAGTTTTGAAGTGTTTTTTTGCTCTCAGAGCTCTCATTTAGATTTAAATTTAATACGACTCCTTTCTAAGGACAGGCCTATGTCCAGCAGTGGACTATTTAAAGCTGTTGATGATGAAGACTTCAAGTTTCTGATCAATCAAGGCCAGTTCATGTTAGTATCATTCTTTATATTACTTACCTGTTAGATATGCAATAAAGTTCTACACTATAATAAATGAATTGTAAATTAGCAAGTTGTGAAATATTCAGGCTACAACTAATGATTTTTACATTGTTTTCCGGTAATTTTCGTCATCACTATTTACTAGAGAGCATTGCGGTTTACAGCATTTCAATACTTAACCTAAAACTTTTTATTTAACCAAGAAATTTCAATGTACGTGCTCTATCGACGCGGTCGGTGCAACGGTCGTTTAAATACAGCTGCGCGTGCACAATGTGGTATTCTCGATTGGATCGCTGAACATTTCGGACATGTTAAGGATGTTTTTATGTTGCCGGTTTAACAAATGGAGCATTTATTGATTATTCGAATACTTTATGAACGAAGATGAGTAATCATCAAAATGATAACGTCTGTGACACCTTTTTTTAACGACCACGGGGCTCGGTCATCCGGCATTACAATATTCGCCAGGACAATTTTTTTTAGTGATTTTTATTTTCGTTTAGAGAGTTTTCGAACAACAGAATTAGCACCATTGTCTCTCAATCACTCAAAACTCTCGGTTTTATTATAAGAAACACTAAGAACTTCAAAAATAAAGCTACTGTTTTAGATTATACGAAATTCTGGTCCGGTCTCTTATGGAATCCTGCTCTGTAGTATAAAATAATTATTCTAGAAAATATTGGTTGAATGTGCATATGTTGGCAGAAGTTGGTTTTTATCAGGTCACCCGTCTGCTCGTTTGCCTCCTCTTCTATTAAAAAAAATGCGATCGAAGAAAAATCGTGATCGTCTGTTTTAAAAAAAAACATGACTGCTTTTATGACATAGACGATCAAGATTTTCCTTCGCCATGTGCTATGTGTGCTTAACGTCTAGTTATGAGTCGGATTTCATTTTCCTTATGTTTCATTGTCAAAAAACATATCACCTTTATTTACTTTACATTAATTGACTCTACTTACATAGAAATTCATTATTATTGCGTTACATTAAAGTGATCTTTTACAATTCCGTAGTCCTGACAAGAAACCTCTATAAGTTAACTATGTTCAAGACCTTACCTGTAGATAGAATGTTTGGCTAAGCTTTTCTAATTTGGCTAGTACCCATGTACTTACTATTACCTAGTTAGTATATTGGTACTAACTAGTCAATTTAGTAACATATTAAACGAAATTTGCAAATCATCACCATCAACAGCCTATAACAGTCCACTGCTGGTCATTGGCCTATCCTTAGAAAAGAGGTTCGGCCTACTATACCTCGCTGACTAGTCTGGCTGGTTGGTATTGGGTTTGTTTCAAGTTTTCCTTCACTTTGCAGTGCTTAGTCGGCTTATTTCCTCGCTTAGTCGGCTCTTACGACACCTTTGGGATGAATAAGGGTTGTGACACAACGTACGAGTATTCCTGATCCGTTACCACCACACGGACTATTTTGCAAATCGGTTGCGAATAATCTACTTTGAAATTAGCTGCAACCCGTGTCAAATGGTTTAGCATTTATTGAGGATTGCTAATGTTCAAAATTTCAGACATTTACCATGATTGTACGTGTAATACTTTTGTAACCTCTGGGTTAGCAACGATTCTGACTTCTAACCCAGAGGTCGTGGGTTCGAATCCAGTCTAGGACAAATATTCTATGATGAGTGCGATATGCTAAATCAACGTGATCATTTGTTACGTGTTTGGGTGTAGTTTATATTTGATACGTATGTATTTACAAATGTTTAGGTATGTGTACCAGCAGTCACCAGTCTGGTTACCACAACATGGTTTCAGCCTCGTTTGGGAACAAACGTCAGTGTATTCTTCTTCTTCTTCTTCTTGAGCCTTAATCGACCAAATATTTGGTGTAGGCCTCCTTTAATCCTCTCCATTATTATTAATGATACTTTCGAAGCGGAAAAACGAACTACTTTTACGTTATAGCGACTTCTACATAGAATAAAACATACATCCTTCAAAAAAAAAAAGGTTGCACCAACTTTAAACAATACTAACAAGCACTAAAACTTATTCCAAATCTAATTGAAAAAACCAAAATCAGTGCGATCTTCAATATAACAGGTGGGTCAAAATCACCAAGGTGGAAAATTCAGAGTTCTGTTTTATGATGAATATACTTAACAGCTATTACTTTGATAATGAGCTTAGATTATCACTAAACTTGTGTTTCAACAATATGTACGTTGGCAGAGCATAGAATAAAGTACTACACCTGTAATTTTATTTTTAAATTGAGCTGTCACTGAAAACAATCATTCCGGGAACGTTTTTGTAAGACTTATAATAAAATTAAAATATAACTTAACTATTTCTTTTGACCCTGTATATTAGCGGTAGTAAGCAGTTATTAATAATAAATTAAAAAGCTCTAAAGAAATTGTAAATAAAAGCGCTTAGAAACAAAACATTGCTACAAATGGAGCTATTGGACTATTTCCTAATATAAAATTAACTAAATATGCCATAATTGTTATCTTATGTTAAAATAAATAGGCTTACGCTATTAGAAGTTCGCCTTATTTTAATATTGCCAGTGACTTTTTTAATTATCTAAATTAATAATGTGTTATCTGTGATTTTAGTAATGTTCCCGAAAATGATGAGGTGTTCACGAAATGATGCACGTGTTCTGTAAATGACGTATATCGTCATTTAGAGAGTTCACTAAATGTCCAAGTAGCTTTTGTTATCTGTTTGAATCCATTTATTAATGTTTGTAGCCATAGATGTATATTAGTTCGGTTGCGGTATTGTAATGTTTGACCATCAGAGTAGATAGATAGATAGATAGCTCCTTTTTTTCAGTTTGTTGTATCTGTAGATGCCATACAGATGTTTTTTTCATAACTGGAATATCTTCAATAAAAGCCATTTTTAATTCTTTGACTGTACTTGACATTGCAACCTCCCTTGTGATCTTAAATTTCTTGTTCTCGCCTTTTACAGTTTTTTCTTCAATAACACAAATCCATTGAAAATATGTCACAGAATCAGTATTATCAGCTAGCTCAAACATTGGATGTTTACATTTATCACACAAACCATTCATGCAGTCATAAGATGTTATATCGCAACTATAATACTCAATCATTTTCTGTACACTTCCGTGATTAATCTATTGTAAATATTTTAATTTGTTCACTTTGAACTCAAAATTTTCGTGTTTAATACATAAACAAGATTCTCTGTCTCTTAATTTTGGAGCTACTACCCAAAATGATTTGCTCTTAATAATGTCGCATGAGACAAATTTATTCCAGTTTGGCTAACGAATTTTGACGTCAGTTCTTTAACTAAGAATAGAAGGAGACTATATATAATAGCTTTTGTTTGTTAATAATGTTTTTCTTTACAAAATCTCTCTTGGCTGGACATATCCTACTGACATCATCTCTTTGGAAGAAATCTTTTACTTTTTGACAAGCTTCAGGCTTCAAAACAACCTTACGAATTTGGTATCAGACTTCAGAATCGATGTAATGGGCTCTTTTGGCAAAAAACTCTTAGCCATATGAAGTAATTGGTATTTCCTCACCATATTACCGCTAAAGCATTTCTGGAAGATTTCCCTCTCTTTGGAATATTTTTTCAAAGTAGTGGCTTTTTCTTATAATTGTGCAGTCAATACTTCGTTAAATATTAGGTTCTTGCGCACTTCAGGAGGTATGTTGACAGTTTAATCATTACATCAACTTTACTGTTAGAAGTACCTTGGTACCTGAACTTTCTCCTGATCTCTTTTTTCTTTTCTTCTTAGACTTTTCATTAAAGTTTCATATTTACGTTTAATTTCAGCAATTGTTTTCTCCTGTTGTTTTATTTTACGGTAAGTTTAGGCTTACGCACAATTTTTCTTCCCACTGTTCTTCTTAATGAAGGTGTAGCAGCTAAATCATCATTGGAATGCGGTGGAGAATTGTTTGATACACATGATAATGCCTTGTTCTTCTCTCTGTATTTTTTTGATGCTTCTTTCCAAATTTTCCTTTGCTTTCGCTTTTCACTGTGAGTCATCTGAGTAATATTTTTAACTTTTCAGCTTTTTTTGATAGTAAGCTCTATCCTTAGCCCTTTTAATTGCTCTCTCTTCCTCTGTCATCTTATCTATAAATTTCCTTTTTCTGGCTTTAGCTTTTTGTCGTTGGCGCAAGTAAGCTGAACTATTTTTGTTAAGTTGATTTTTCGAACGTTTTTTATTTTTTGAAGCATAATGAGACTCAATATTGCTAAAACAAATGAAACATTTATTAAAAACTACGTTAGCACAACATTCACTAAATTAATTAACCAATAGTTGTAACAGATGTCACTTTGATAGTGAAAAAGTCATTTCGGGAACATCATCATCATTTCGAGAATACTCCTTCAAGTCCGGGAACGTTCCCGAAATGACCGTTCTCGAAATGACTTTTATAAATATACGCGCCTTTTTTTAAAAGGCCGCCATCTTTGACATCATGTTTGGTTTAGTTAATGTAAAATACTTGGGATTACTATCCGTTATACACACTATTATACGTATTTTTCATTCATTCTGAGTTAATAAACGCATTCCCGGTATGATGACTTATTGATGTACGCTCTGCAAATAATGAATCGAAAGGTACTTACCACCTATTTTTAATTATTTTGGCGAGAAACTTTCTTGACAGCCACTTTATTTACATCTTTCACTACACTGCGCCATATACATCTACAGGCAAGGTGCAGAAACACAATGTTTTCGGGCAATCAAAACTACGTTCACTCAAATGACGCTTACATTGTCGGACATAATATTATGACTTTATTCTCTTTAGTTTCTTTTCTTTCTTTAATAATGCATATAATTACTTAATAATAGATAAAATTTAAGGCTAATAAGTAAGAAAAACCGTAAAATTCATTTTATTTTATGTATATTTCCGGTGTTAGTTTCTAAAGATTGCTACTTAGGACGCGTTCTCGAAATGATTTTTTGTAGTTATTTCTTCAAATAATAATGAATATGTTTTACTTTTGAAGTATAATATACGAGGTACAGTTAATATGAACCCTTTACAGTATTTACAAATAATAATTTGTTTAAAAAAAAACGCACTGAGGCATTTATTTTCAAGTAAAGCTGATTTTCCACCTTGGTGATTTTGACCCAGGTAACATTTTAATCACAATAGATATATTCTAGTCTACTTGAAGTCGGTTCACCTTTTTTTTTTTAAGGATTTATTTTACCATTTTAAGAGTAAGATACGTTTATAATGTTGTTTACACTAGTGTATACCTGGAAGAAACTGAACCACGATACGGACTAAATATTCTAAAAACTTTTTCGACCTATGCTCAGATGATAAACCACCAACCCAAATCACTGATTTTGCTATCTCAATGACAAAAAAAGGTAATGTCAACATTTAGGAAAATGACATAAAGTTTCAGAATTATACACATGATACTCGAAATTAATAGTGCTAAAACGTAAAAAAACTACACAACAATATTTTTGTAAAATACGCACTTGGTTATACAGTTTTATAAACTTATAAATCACAAGTATCGAAATTCCAATGATAACATTATTATCACAAATAACAACGGTGATCGTAATCTTGGTTGTATGTAACAGCAAATTTGTGTTTGCAAAGAAAATATCAACGTTTGATAATAATACCTTCGATTTCCGGGTAAACTTTATATTTATTAACTATGAATAATTAACAATTCACCGTCATCGGCACTTTTGAATAGAATTAGGCTGATGATCACTACGAAATACATATATACTAAAAACTTTACCATCGTATAGTTTATGAACGTAAAGAGAACCAATTATTAATTATACCTACAGCATGGATTAGTAATCGACAAAATAAAACTTAATAAAGTAACCTTTTGTTCGAGGTTACCTATACTTCACATCTCCAGACCTCAAGTTATGGCCACTCATATCTGTTTCATGGTAGTCCGCACGCCGTACCTTCTAAAAGCAAACTCACTCTTTGCTTAACGGAACCGTTGCCAGTTAGGATTTGAGTTAATGTTAAACATTCCATATTAGACTACAAAATTTGTCCCTGCGCTGTAACTTCTGCTAAAAAGGAAACAGTGAAATTCGATGCGGCATAAATGTAAACTCCAGCCGTATCGGAAAATATTAGCCTACAGCATCAGCAGTAATATCATACTACTTGTCAAGGGCATAACCATTAAACCGAATAAAACTAAGGAATACTAAATATCCAACTAAACTGGGAAAGCTTGCTATATACCTGATACCGCATATAAGCTCCCAAACCTAGTTACATATTGACTATTATTTTTGTTAAACGAGAAGTTTAACAATTATCGTGGCCAATCTTTATTTGATGACGGGCAACCACTATGACAAATTCTATCAGAATTACTCTCTATTTTATATCTCTATGCAGTGTATTATTAATAGATTTAGTATTAATATTATTTATGCTTAGGAAATAGTAAAAGAGAATGAAAGATATCCTTCTCTAACGAATATATGTCAGCTGAGAATATATGGTGGAGTAACAGCTACTCGGACTGATGTACCATACCAGGTTTGTTTAGTACATTTTTTGATTAATTATTTGTCCAAAACAACCATAACAAATTGTTATTATTTGAGTGTTTTTTTTTACTGACTTAATGCCCATGATTTAATGCACTACTGTGTCCGCAGTTTAATTAGGAAATAACTTTCTATATCATAAAAAAATATATTCAAAGTAATTGTTTTTATGATTAAAAATAAATTTAAAAGTAAACAAATATTTCAGGTAGCACTAAGAAGAGAAGAAAACGGGGGTCAATTATGGATTGCCATTTGTGGAGGAGCAATCGTAACTGAAAATTATGTATTGACAGCCGCCCACTGCCTCGAAATACCGTCAGTACTTCACATAATATTTGTTTACACATCTAATACCATCAATATCAGTTGAAAAATTGTAAGGGTTTCACGAAAAAGATCACTGGCTCTCGATGCGAGCGTCAACTCACATAGCATAAAAATTTCATTGTAATATATGATTTAAGCTTAGGAGTTTTAAGTATCAATCAAACACACTTATTAATAAAAACATAATACAATAATATACGAGTACATTACAAAGTGTGAGAGGGTGTTTCACTTATTTGTTGCGAGAGCGAGACGACATGTCTAGCTATTACTCTTTTTCCTTTTTTTTCGAGCAAGCAAGAGACCTTATTTCTAACTCCCGTATTTCCAACTCTTCCAATTTTGTGGGAGGGATTAGTCCCAGAGACCCTACGTGGTCCTATCCATTTCCCATACCTTAACTTACCGACTTGTGTCCTGTCTGTAGACGTTTATATTCCTAAGAAGGGTTATCATCAGATGCGAACGGCCATTAAAGCAATCTTTGCAATGTTACAACATTGGATCGACCCTAAATAAGAAGAGAGAAGAAGAGAAGAAAAATCATGATGATGCAATTCATGATATTCTTTCTGATATTAAAAATGCTAGTACTCTAAACATAATCTTTTTTTTATTTAGGAGGTCAAACATAAGGTCATATAGAGTAATTGCTGGAACAATTCGCTCCAGTGTATACCTTTTTGGAGATATAGCTTCAAGAACAGCGTCACTGCAAGAGTTTCAAGCCAAAGAAACGTGGAGACGAATTGCTGAATATTATAAACATGCATTTTACAATAGGAAAACGATTCGCAATGATATTGGTGTTATTCTGGTAGTATTTTTTATCTAACAATCACTATATTAAAAATCATAAAAAATAAAATTAATAATAATAGGTTATAGGCGTTTCGAAGTTCATGAAAGCAATTTACAATTTTGGGTCGAGTGGTTCAATAATCTGCCAGCAACTTAAATAAAAAAGGATTCAAGCAGTACAAACTTCTTCCTTCACAAGTTTATTTTCATCATCTATACTAATATTATAGCGCTTATCTCAGGAACTACTGGTTCGAATAAAAAAATATTTTGTTGTTGGATATCACATTTTTCGAGGATATTATATATTCATAAATTATATTAAATATAATTATATTTCAGACCATCACATACTAAAATTCAATTCTGTTGTGCTTCTGATCTAAAAATTATAACCAGACATCTTTATTGTCCAGACCGCGTATCCGATTAATATTTTCATATTTCCTAAACCTAACATTTACCATACTTTATTTTACAGCTAGATAAGCCTTTAGAGTTTTCGGAATTTATCAAACCCATTCGGATGATCAATGGTGAGACACCGATAGAAAGCGAAACTCTCTGCACAACTTCTGGTTTTGGTCTCATGGAATGGGTAGTTACCTACTATTTAAAAAAATTAAATGTTTAATGATCATTGTCATCTCATATAGGCATACTAAGTACTGGCACAAACTATCCAGCACTTCATAGTTTGCATACTTGTTTTTCGACATTAGTACTTTTTTCTGAACGTGTGAGTGAGTTGGAAAATTTCATGAAAATGAAATACAAAAAAATAAACATTCAATTATTTGAAAAACAGTATGTCTGAGTTTAATGTGCCTTAATCGAAAGTTGTACTTTTCAGTCACAATTTTAAACCTTTATAGATGGAATATTTTCTTCAAATTTATATTGGAAAAACCAGTTCAAGTAAAAAAAATAATAATCGAAATCAATTCACAAATGAGAAAGAATAAAATCATGTGAAAAACAATTTGTTCTGATTTTCTCTATTGTTTCCCAACACTATAGGTTTCTTACTTACGTGTAGCTTCGATTCGCATCACACGCATTATGCATGTTCAATTCTATTTTCTTTTCTAATTTCAGACTAAACCGTCCCCTTTTCTGCGTTATGTATGCGTGCCCGTTGTTCCCTTCTACTCTTGCAAAAAACATCATGACCCAATGTTATATTCAAGTTATACACAAATATGTGCTGGGTCATACGGAAAGGATAGTTGTCAGGTTGGTAATTTTATCCTCACATTTTTAGCTTAGTAAATTTGGAGTAAAGTAGCTCTCTTTTTAGATAGGTACAAGTAACCGTGCGAAAATGACTAAAGTGTAAAATGGATAAAGCAAAAAATACAGCCAAACCAAGCAAAACCATCTGCAAGCAGCAACATCTGAGCCGACCTAATAGATAAATTGCTTTGACGCGTTCATTGGTGAACTGCTCGAAAGGACCTCAACAAAGTGGACATAAAACCAACAGCATTGAAATATATTTAATTTACAAGCTAATGATTATTACCTTATTTTATTTTCATCAAGTTTCTAATAGTCCTCTGCTGGACATAGACCTCTCCTCAAAGAGGAGGTTCTGGCCTACTATACTACGCTGCGCTGGTCAGACGTGTTGGTATAGGGTTAGTTTCAATTTTTCTTTCTCATTAAAGTGATATTGTCCTGCTAAGTTTGCTCCCTTTGCCGGCTCTCACGCAACCTACGCTACGAGATGAATAGGGGTAGTGACACTCCGTATTCTTAATCCATCACTACAAGGACGCACCGAGGGTACCAGAAATTTACCAGAATGTTACCAGATTTTAACTGCTGGAAGAAAACACGTTATAATAACTAATAAACCAAAGTAAAGGGGCTACTAAATAACTAAAAAACGAAACTAAAAAAAACTACGTAAAGTACACAACTATATGTTAGTTTGTTAGGTATCTAATTACTATTTTATTTTATTTTTTTATTACAAAAAAGCTGTTGGTTGTTTCAGGGTGACTCTGGTGGTCCGATGGCGTGCAAAGGACTTCTGGTCGGTTTGGTGTCTTTTGGTGCTAGATGCGGTGAAGCGCCAGGAGTGTATACGTTGGTATCAGGTTACACATCGGCCGCTAAAGTACCCTTTGTCAAAAGTGGATCTGTTAAAGTGAATTTTACATTTACGTTGACACTGTTATATTTGTACAGTGTATATTGTCTGGTATGGTTTGTTATAACTTGTTGTGTCTTAAAGTAAAATATTTATATAGATATTGTTCTAAACACATGTAATATATAAAAATCAATATTTGTGTGTTCATATTTTATGCGTTTCTATACTATTCTTAAACATACTGCCGTACTGTTCGTCGTGAAACTTTGTACTTATAGGTATACTTTGTTAGGGTTACAGAAAGGGCTTAATGATAGAAGTGGCAGCTGGAGGACTTACAAAAACCAGAGATTTTAATAAATAAATTTATATACTTTAAGAAATGACAATATAAACTTATGTCTAAAACTATGCTAACCCAGACGATGCTAGTATCGAAGTGTCTGATTATACTATCTTATTATAGACGACCAGATGGCGAAGTGGTTTGTGTAACGGACTTCTATTTCAAAGGCCGCAGGTTTGCTTCTCGCTCAAGTCAAACATTTGTGTGAATGAACATTTGTGTGTTTGATTTGGTCTGGGTGTTTCTATGTATAATATGTATGTATTTACCAAAAAAAGTATATAATATGTATTTATATCAGTTGTGTAGAAGCCATAGTACAAGCTTTGCTTAGTTTGGGACTAGATGGCGTTGTGTGAATGTGGTAACATATTATTATTAAATTATATATACATATTATATATATATTACAAAAAAAAATACATTTAAAAATATAAAAAATAGTAGACCACCGACATCGGGTACAGGGACCAAGACACCGGTGGTTAGGACTCCAAAGATAGGAACCTCCTCACTATACGAACCGTGTCAAGGAGGACTGCCTTCTGCATCAGACCCTTGATCCAGCCGTCCAACGTGAGCTATCAATCCGTGAGCAGATACGACTATCGGAACAATGATCACTGAATCAACATTCCACATATCGACAATCTCGTGAGATAAATCCCGACATGTGAAGCAGCGGCACGAGGCGCCGAATCAGCTAAATTCGTAGAATCTTCTAAATTGCGTAAACTGCTTAATCCATTGATCGAGAGAATGAGCATGAGAATGTGTGATAATGGATACTTAACTAGTACCTTGTGTCAATATTATTGTTAGCGGAGACAAGTAGCATTGAAAATTATCCTTCATTTCTCATTGGTGCCAATTTATGTAAAGAATCAGATAATGCTTTATTTTACCCCTAAGGTTTCTCTAGCACGAAAAAAAATCGCTATAGCTAGTTCATAATATACTTCTTGGTTAGGACTCTCAGTTTAATGACAATATGCCAAAAACTTTTTGGTGACAACAAGGACAATGAAAAACTATTATGTCAATGTCTATTATCGAAAAATGGCAAACCTTGTTTTGACGCCAAGAGTTTATAAACACAATCTACAAAATACAGTGCTAATTTAAAAATATGAACCGTATAGATGAATATTTGGATAACTACATGACGCCAAAATGTCACTGATAAGGTTATTGACTCAAGTTGGAACCATGACAGTTATATTGATTTTATATACTATAGATATGGGCTATTGTTATTTGGATATGTCCGATTTAGATTTTCGGGTAATTTTTTTGTATATTCTTTAACGATAAGTGAAATTATAAATTAGACTGCAGTTCTAGATAAAAGTAAGAAGTATCAAAAGAGTATTAATCTCTCACACCATCAATAAATACAACAAACCCATACAAAGTTTAGGTAAATTTCAAGGATATTTCATTTGACTCAAATTCTACAGCTTGTTAATCTTTGTTTAAAAAGTAAATGAAGTGATTTGTCGTGTTGATTAATTATTCGTTTAAGTCAGTTCACTTTTAGGTATTTTAAATCCCAATGTAATGATAAACAAGGTAAATTTTATGTCGAAAAGTTTCTATACGATTTTATATTTAACAGGGAAGTTGAAAGCTTATTATTTACTAAAATTTTTAACTTAACACATTCAATTGTAAAAGTCATTTATATCAACTTCGTATTCTAAGAGTTTTGTCATCCTTATCAGATTTTACTTAAAGTTATTCAATTCAAGTAATTGTCGGTTAGTTAGATAAACTGGTGCAAAAAAATACTTGGCTTCTGAGATAGCTGCACAGCACTGGTCATAAATTTCGAAGCGAAGACATTATGCAAAACAAATTAAGTTTACACAAGGATTTACCGAGTGAACAAGCTACTAAAAGACTAAAAGTATTGTACCATATGAAACGGGTTTCTATTAATCTGCTCTAATAGAAATTCTTCTAAGTTGTCCCAAAGGCAAGCAAGCAGCCTTTTATTTAACTCGACTCTCTTTAAAATATTATATTTCATAACAGATATTGTCTGTACATACATAGGATGTAATACTGCAAAATAGAAAGTATCCTCCTCTAGAAGATAGATGCCATCTAAGAGTATATGGTGGTGTAACAGCTGCTGCAGGGGATATTCCATATCAGGTAAAATCATCATCTACCTCTTTACCATTTGAAAAGGTTTTTAAATGGTAGAATATAAAGTTTAATATAAATTATGGGGAAACAATCAATGTAATTAATTATAAAAAAAATATAATATCAAAACTATATTACACTCGCAGGCATAATAACTAGCAGGTATACACCAAAAAAGTTTTAATTGGACTTGCTGCGGATTACAGATATCTATTCCTTGGACAACGCATTATATTGCCTACAGAGCATGGTCATTTTAGTAGAGTATTACCGGGTCTATTTTTACCTTGTTAACTGGCATTAAACATCATTTAAATATTTCATTAAATAAATTTACGAAATACGAGTATGTTTAATGGGTACACTACATAAATACGAATTTTACCGATTTTCATATTTCCTAATGGTTAAAAATTCCTGATATAGCAACACCGATTTATTATTAATCCTATTTTTATAATTAAAAAATTTCAATATTCATTCATTCATTGAACAATAGAGGGGATCGGGCGCTCGGCGGCCGCTACAGGGGCACACTCGCTGCCGCAAGGAGCCAAAGCCTGAGCGCCACCACTGCGATGACCGGACCGTCTACACGGCGCTCCACACGCTGGCAGAATGTCCGGCGTGGATGGAGCATAGGCACGGCCTCGTGGTGGCCATCGGAGTGGGAATTCTCTCGCTCGGTAACATGATAGCCGCCATTGTACGGAGCGAGAGTGCGTGGAACTCCACCGTCTCATTCTGCGAGCGGGTTAAGCTTGCGAAGGAAACTACCTCCGTCCTCCATAAGTACAGGTCTAGGGGTGACAAGTGAGGCCATCTGTAACTCTAGCAGAAGTAGGCCGTGGTGGGTGGCGGTGCGACCCGCTACGGAGGGCGCAAGCTCTTTGGGGGTGGGAAGGGAACATCGGGGTTCTCACGCAGGAGGGGGTCATCTATAAGCCGCAAATGGCCCGAGGTACGTCGGGGTACCAGGGCCTTCCTTTCTAGGGTATATCTGGTGTCCCGAAAGGGGGCATGCCTGCTACGTTCGCTCGCCTTCGCGCTTTAATGGGCACAGTTCTAACCTTTTTTTTTTTTTTTTTTTTTTTTTTTTTTTTTTTTTTTTTTTTTTAACGTGTGGAAATCCCCTCGGACCGTCACCCCTCCGGGGTTTGCGGCGGGGTGGTGTGTCGGACTCGGACCGACTAAAACCACACGGTGTGCCACTCTGCGCCTGTAACAGGAGGGATCCGGGAACAGCTGTTGTTAAGACATCCGGACCCCTCCTAGCGCCAGCCCGCTCCTGGTGCGGGCTCCGTCTCAATGTATTTTCCTCTCTTTAGGCGACGTCCGGCACACGCGGACGCCGCCCCCTCGCGGCTGGCCAAACTAATGCGGGTGGAGGGGAAACCCACCCCGTCCACCCGCGGCCACACTCAGGGCGGCATGAGGCTGTGGTGCACAGTTCTAACCTAACCTAACCCAAATGATTCACCAACAATAGAGGGAATCTGGCATTAATCGCCACTGTTCTAAGCTAAGCTAACCCAAAGAAGTCAATAACAGTAGATGGTACCCGACGCAGGTATAAGAAGGTATAAGAAGAAAACACAAAAAAAAATTGACATACCAATATTAATAACAAAGTATACGTTTGAAATTACATAAAATTGAATATTTTCTAACTGAATCAGAACCAGCAATTGCATTTACGACTTTTGGTAAAATTAATTTCGTGAATTTTTATAATAGGCACTAGCTGACCCGCGCAACTTTGTCTGCGTCTCTCAATAGTAATAAATTTTCTCCGTTTTTTGAAACATTCTTCATTGATGCTCCTCTCCTATTGGTCTTAGCGTGATGATATATAGCCTATAGCCTTCCTCGATAAATGGGCTATCTAACACTGAAAGAATTTTTCAAATCGGACCGGTAGTTCCTGAGATTAGCGCGTTCAAACAAACAAACAAACAAACAAACTCTTCAGCTTTATAATATTAGTATAGATTATAATTTTTAGGTATTATGACATTCGGACTTTTGAAAATCGGCACATCGAAATTCGGAATAAGATACTTCGGAGTATTTGGGTGTTCCCATTTTTTATTTGTTATAAGTAACGCACATCGCAACGCACGCACGTGTACTAAATCATGGGTTACAATAGTCACTTTCTGTGAGGTGACCTGTCTGCTCCTATATTGTGAAAAAATCTCAACCAGTCTCATTTATCAAGTATTTTTTCGCTGCCTGAGCAGGCAAAGGTTAAAACATCGCATTTCCTTTTTTTTATAAAACATCAACAAAAGTTGAAACGTTTTTATTCAACACAACAATTTCGTGTGTGATGTTGATCTAAACGATAATAGTAGTAGTTAGTAGTGTTATAAAACACATACATTCGAAAACGTTAATTTATCAACCCAAAATTGACAGTTTTATAAAAATCTCAATGTTCCTAATCCTAAAACTCTTGATGGCAGTGTTAGTATCAAAATGTACATATAATGTACATGAGACAAGTAATAGTATTTACTGATTGCAAGACTTTTCCTTATGTTAAAAAGATCTACTTAAAATATTAAAGCTAGAGTTCTACTCTTGCATTTGAAATGATGATCTTTCGGATTTAAAGTAAAAATGACATAAAACAAAAATGTTACCAGACTTTGTTACTCTGTGACTTATAAGAGTAGTGACCGTTTATGATATTAAAATTACGGATGATCTACTGATGTTATCAAACTACTTGAGATAGAATCTGAAATTCAAGGTTAAAGAAAAAACTTCTTTAGCCATGCCGGTGACATGAACTGCCCCAAGCAAATTTATACTTTCATTAGGGATTCCGTAAACTGTGCACATGACCGGGCAAGTTCCACAAAAAAATATAAAATAAACCAGGGGTTATATCGGGCTCCCTGGATCAATGAAAATATTAACAAATTGTGTAAAAAACGCGACCGCCTATTTAGCACTTGGAAACAAAATCCTAATAATCTTGAATTGCGACTTGAATATAATAAATTACGTAATAAAATTCATAAAATACTTGACAATTGTAGAAACTCTTATTACATAAATACTTTTAGCGATAATTTAAATAATATTAAAAAACCTATCAGATTATAAATCACATGCTAGGCCGCATAAGCTTATCCATCGAAGAAGCCATTTCAGATGGGTTCGCTAATGAATTTCATCAGGCGGTCAAAAAAATTATTCCGCAATGTAAGATCCAATTGTTAGATGGGAACGCGTTTTACAATCCCGCAAACTCTAGCATTCGATTCCAAAAGGCTACGAGTAACAACATTGATGAAATAATAAAAACATTAAATACAAACAAAGCTCCAGGTCTAGACGCTATTTCGGTTTCAGATATTAAAACAGTAAAGAGTGGCATTTCTCAGGCAATAGCTAATCTTATTAACTGTAGTGTTGAAACTGGTGACTACCCTAATGAATTAAAGATTGGCTGCGTTAGACTGATCTTTAAGAAAGGCCATCGCAACGAATAAAGCAACTATCGGCCTATCACGGTTCTCTCTACCATCGACAAAATAGTTGAGAAATATATCTGTAAGCAGGTGAATAATTTTTATACAGATAAAGAAATCATTTACAAAAATCAATTTGGCTTTCAGCAGGGAAAAGGTGTTAGTGACGTCCTCTCAAAGTTTACTGACCAAGTTAACGAGTCTATGAATGAAAGAAATCATGCCCTAGCTCTCTTCATCGACTTCTCCCGTGCCTTCGATACCCTTAATCACGACGTGCTCCTACAAAAACTTGACACTTGGTGGATACGTGGACCTGTACTAGAATGGCTTAAAAAATCTCTCTAACCGCACATATACTGTTAAGGTCGACGATGCGTTCAGCGATACTGTCACTGTTTCCGAGGGCACGACACAAGGATCAGTTGTAGGACCACTTCATTTCTTGACATATGTGTATGATATGAGCAATTGTTTTATACAGAGCACCTATTATCAATTTGCCGATAATACGTGTCTACTAGTCAGTGATAGAGACCTAGATAGAGCATATGATTACCTCTAGTCAGATTTCTATACCCTTTGCAAATGGTGTCATGATGCACTTGTTCTTAATGCAAATAAAACCAAAATATTACACTTCAGGTCACCATACTTAAAGCCTTCACCGGTCAACAAACATCTAATAGCTCATGAACACGCATGCTTACATGGCGTTCTTAATGCAAATAAAACCAAAATATTACACATCAGGTCACCATACTTAAAGCCTTCACCGGTCAACAAACATCTAATAGCTCATGAACACGCATGCTTACATGGCTCTAATAGTGACGGTTGTTGTTGTCCAATCATTGAACTTGTAACGTCCCATACATATCTCGGCCTCATCATTGACGACAAACTAAACTGGAAACCCCATATCGATAAAGTATGTGATAAGCTAAGATGTTTTCTAGCAAACATTAAGATCTTAAATCGTCGTATCCCTTATCGTGATAAATTGTTACTCTATGACTCCCTAGCCGAGTCTCATATTCAGTATGGACTCACCAGCTATGGGCGAACTTACAAGACTTACATAAATATTATATATAGATTGCAACTAAAAATATTAAAGACAATAACATCTCCACAGCTTAATTTACAATACAGTAACAATGAGCTGGGTCTTTTTAAACATTGTAAAGTTCTATCCATTTACATAAAAATAAAATATCGTTTGTTGAAAGAAAAGTATTTTAAATACAATTTGGGTGATAAAGTAGAACATTCTGTATGTACGAGTACACGAGCAGTCTCACTAAACCGGTTGCAAACGGCACGCGCTGTTAACGTGTTTGGTGAAAGAACAACACGATACATAGTACCGCGATTAATTAATAAACTACCCTCCGATTTAAATAAATGCCCAAACGAAAAAAAAATCAAACATAATTTGACGAAATTCTTTTTGGAAAACATGGCCTAGTCATCTTTGTAAGTAATCCCTCTTCCTCTCCTTGCCTGACTTAGAGTTCACTTCACCGTTCTGAAACGCTACGCTACGCCCGTACGCTTAGATTTTATAATTATTTTAAAAGTACCTACATAATGACGCATGTATTTTACTGTATGGTGTTGATTTTTATCAACCTCGCTTGATGTAGCATCTGTTGCATTTTTACAAACCTCAGTGGTTTTCAAGTGCACGATTATAATCAATAATTGTAAATTGTTTTGTAATATGTTAAATAAATAAAAAAAAAGAAAATATAAATGTTTACATATACTTTATAATATAAACTCTATATAATTATATATAACTATGTAATTCTAGGTAGCCATCAGAAAGCAAAAAAATCAGGGCCGTGTTTGGTCGGTTTTTTGTGGGGGAGCAATTGTAACTACGACACATGTTGTTACTGCCGCGCACTGCTTTGATTCATTGTGAGTATCTTACATTTCTAGAATATAGATTTTTTTATATTAGTGACACTTGTTTCTTTATAAGAACAAACTGCTAACTCGTTGGATTCGCTTACGCAGTTTTACACAAACAACAAAAAACTCTTAAAATGGGACACACAAACAGGCAGATTTTTTTTTATAGCTCAATATGTTGGTCTAGTGGTTACTGGTCCTGACTGCTATGCCGGAAGTTGTGAGATCAATTCCTAAAGGACAAATAAGCATGATCATTTATTTATTTATTTACTTTATTGTACATGGCCTCATATTTATTTTGTACAGATATACACATGGGACATACATGGGACATTGGTATAAGAATCTTAAGCTTACGGCGATCTCTTACAGACAATCTTAATACCAATCTTGGTCGGTGGTCGTACAGTAAACAGTAAAGTAGGGAATATTAGGGTCTGAACAAGCATTAAGTGCCATGGTTTTTATTGGCAGAAAGTTCTTAAGCCTTTAGAGGGCCTGCAACTTGTTTTCGCCGGCTAAGAGTTGTGTCAATATACAATCCGAGGTCTTTTACACTTTCAAAGTATGGAATAACCATGCCATACATCATGACGGCTCATACATCCAATGATAATGGCCTTACATTTATTCGGGTTTACTGATACGCCAAACATTTCGAGCCGGTAGTCAGTCTGTTAATAATTAAAATATTTAAACTTAGAGTTACATACTAACACATACAGAGGTCCATCCATACTCATGATACTTTTATTCTAATATTATAAATGCGAAAGTGTGTCTGTTTATCTATCTGTCTGTCTGTTTGTTACCTCTTCACCCTTAAACCGCTCAACCGATTTGGATGAAATTTGGCATGGTAATAATTTGATTCTTGAGGAAGGTGGCGTCCTAATTCTCATAATAAAAGTTTACAATGAGAATGGCTTTCTGCTTACAAAATCACAGGCTCTGCCTCGTTTGAGATCAGTCGGCCATTTATGAAATTCGTCAAGTGATTATTATTACATATTAAATTCAAACATCAAAAAAAAAATTATACTAATTCCTTTTTTTATGTTTTAGGGGTCCAGACTTTTTAAACACAACCAGAGTCATAGCCGGAACCGTCAGTTCTAATATAAATCTGTTTGGGAATAAAAACGCTCGAAGGGTTCTACTAGAAGAACTTGAAACTACGGAAACTTGGAGACAAATCGCTGAATGCTACATACATGCTGATTACAATAAAGCGAAAATTCGAAATGATTTTGCTGTGCTAGTGGTAAAACTCTTTGGCAGTTTTGAAGTAACTGAAATTTGCGCACGTATCTATCACCTTTGGGGCGGACCATGTTATTTCAGGTCCCTCCAGGATCGACGCCGTGCCTAGCCAGGCACTATCCCGGGGAAAGCAGGCTTTCCCCCGCCTATCGGCCCAATCAGTGATATGACGGCGGCCCGATGGCAAAATGACATCGGGCGCCATCATATCGCGTACTGCAGCAATTAATCTGCCACCAGAGGTCCCCACTCTCTGGCAGATAACGCCGCCAATGTCGTCTACGCTCTGGATCGGCTCTCTTCCGATCCCGTTCGGTGGTCTCTTTCTAGAGTATTATAGCTTTATAGAAATAAAACACTGCCACAGCATGGCAGCAATGATTGGTGGCGGAGACAGGTTTCATCTGATTTGTTCGACCAGGATTAGACGCCCACATAGGGCAGTCTACCAGCGTATGCTGGGTGGAGTCAAAGTCGGCGGATTGGACGCGAGGAGACGCCACAATGCCAGCTCCTCGCGTCCAATCTGATTCGGGTAAGCAACCATGCCCAGTGAGTACCTGTGTCAGTCGGTAGGTGACGCGACCTTCCTCCCTATCTAACCAAGCTAAGGTAGGCGAACGGCACCGACAGCGCGTTGCGGCGCATTTCGCGGCTGTTCCAACCGCGAGCGCCACTGCACCCGTGCCTGTCGGTGAGCGTTCCGCCGCATTTCGAGCTCGTCCTGGTCTTCCCTACCCTCACCCCGGCGGATAGCGCAAGTCTGGTCACAGACCCTTGCGTCCACATCCGCGTCCATATCCTATGACTGTCACCGCCTCCGATGAAATTGTGTAGTAACCTCGTACGATCCAAATGCTGCGCTTAATGCTTAAAAATTTTTTTTTTTTACATTGAGGGGGTAAAATGACAACCTTCTATACAACCGTTCTACCCCTAGGTAGAACGGTTGTATAGAAGGTTGTCATTTACAAAGTTTGAAACACGAAATAATAAATAACAACACGATTCAAACCGCGGGCAATAGCTAGTACTATTATAAAGACACAACAATTTTGGTCTACTGTGATCAAGAAGATAGAGATAAAATAGAGCAAACAAACATAATATTTGTTGACGCAACATTCAATTAGCCTCCGTCCATTATTTCTTTTTGTTTTTAATATAAATGCTGAATTAGACAGTACTGCTAGACAGTAGTACCACGGAAAGCGCTCTGTACTTTTGCCCGGAATTCCAACACACGGAATTCCCACACCCGGAGTCGGCGAAGACACCACGGAAACGGTAAGGTAGACCGGTTTTATGAGGAGTACCGAGAGACGCGATAAACTCTGAATCTGGCCATTAGCCGTGCCAAAGAATTAAAGAGAAGGGAGATACTGGAGGGTCTCGATCGTGACCTCTGGAGACGCCTTCATAGCCTCTTCCCCCTCATCGAGACTCCAGCTTAGTTTCCTGCAGGAAGTGTTGAGAGCCTTTTCCACACACCTCATCGATGGCCTCCTTGGCCGGTGATGACGGAGAGAAACGTTCTAATACCACCGCTCCTGGTCCTAGCCCTCGACCACATGTTAGGGAGGTGTTCGACGCTAGCCCTGAGTGCTGGAAGAGCGGGAAGCTGGTCCTGTTAAGGAAGCCGGGACAGCCTGCCGATTCCAAGGATTCTCTCTGATCGCATGGTCCGCCACCTCTGCGAGGTGGGCCCAGATCTGTCGGACTCCCACTTCGCTTTTCGAGCGGGGCGTTGGACGGCCGGCACTGTGTTGCGCCTCAAGACCGTAACCGAAGAGGCGGTGAGCGTGCTGTTGGCGATGTTCAACGACAGCGCCAACCCATTCAATAGTCTGCCATTCTGCTGCATCAATGAGGCACTCCACTGCCACAGGGTGCCAGTGTATCTGAGGCGGCTAGTGGCAGAAATGTAGTCATGTAAGACTGAAATCGTGTTTTGTGTCTTTGGGCATTGTCGCGCGGTGTTCCACAAGGATCTGTTCTCTCTCTATGTTCCAGCGATGACATTCTTCATAGCCCGGGCGGCGAACTTTTAAGAGGCAACGCGCCTAGCCATGAGGGGAGTTGCTCTGATGGTCGGGCGCATTGAGGCGCTGGGTTTACGGGTGGCCCTGGATAAGGCAGAGACCCTCTTGTTCCATGGGCCCGGGCACCAGCGCCTCCATCGTATCTCTTGAAAGCTTTGGTCAAATTATCAAAAAAATAAAAATTCCATCTAGTTAGAACCAGAATCGAAAAATCTTTTAGTACTTTACGCAGAGTAAAACTTGGCTAAGATGGGCCATGACAGAAAAAAAGACTATCGCCCTCTGCCCGATGAGTGTGCAGAGGGTCATAAAAGCACAAACTAAATTTCAAATAGGTTGGGCAATAGGTTATTATCGTAATAAGGTTAGAAGAAAAAAGTAAATTAAATTCCAATCATTTATCTAGTTTTCTCAATTATGCCCCACCCCGTAATTAAATGCTGGGTACGCTCATGTAAGGCACTTTTAAACGAATTAATATGAACTACTCTGATTGACAATCAGCAACTGCTATTTTTATTTGAATCCTGACTATACCTTTTCACATCAGAGTACCATGCAGTGACAATCTTTTATGATTTTTACAAACGACGACTTTTTTACAAACTTGCTGTTCTTTACATTTCAGCTAGACCAACCCGTAGTATTTTCAAACACAATCAAACCTATACGGATGGCAGATTATAATACAAAATTACAAGCCGACACCCCTTGTACTACTTCAGGATATGGTCTTATGGACGGGGTTAAACATTTACTTTTTTACATTCTTCATTATCACCTTTCTGGCATTCCTTACTACCAATATTCCATTCTACCTCTTATCATGTGTCAATTCATGTTTACTTTTTTACTTAATAATATTAAAAAAACTCTCTTCATCACATTTTGTTAAACTTTCTGCATCATATGTATTTACTACGCTAGCCTTATTGCCCTGCAACTTTTAATCTATCGTCACTCTATTCATGCTTCCACTTATATATTCATTTGTCACCTTATCTTTCCTAGTCACAATACATATCCACTGGCACATTTACAGTTCAGCTACATGCAGATGCACTTTATCCGTTATATAATTTTTTATATTGTTTAAATATTTTTCAATCTTTTCCAGAGCAAACCATCTCCTTCACTTCGGTATGTGTGTATACCACTTGTTCTTTATACCAAGTGCAAACAAACTTTTCCCATCTTACATTCTAGTTACACTCAAATATGTGCTGGTTCCGAAGGAAAAGACAGTTGCCAAGTATGTTTTTCTGTGATCTAATTTTACCGAATTATTTTTAAGTTATTGAATAACTGAATGCCTTATCACCGAATCCTTCTTATAGACTCTGAGGTCAGCAAAGAAGAAAGACACAAAAGTTATGTAAATGTTTACCAGAGCTTTTATTTTATGAAGAAAGGAAATATATTTTTATGACATAAAAATGAATATAAATTCAAAACAGGTTTTCTGGCTGGTTCTATTGCATTGGGCATCTGGCATTAAATGTAAAGTGTAACTTTTAACATTCGAAAGTGATGATCTACTTCATTAAACATATACCTATTTTCTTTCATTGATACATTTTGTATGAGCTGAGGATCTATAGTGATAAACAATGATGATGATGTATATCAAGTTACTGGATAAAAATGCAGCAGTTAAGATAGATTTCGAAAGAAAATTTAGCAAATAGCTATTCAATGTTTCAGGGTGACTCCGGTGGTCCAATGGCATGCAAGGGAGTTTTGATCGGTCTGGTATCTTTTGGTGCTAAATGTGGTAAAGCTCCGGGAGTATACACGCTAATATCAGGTTTTACTAAAGGCAACAGAATACCTTTAGTCAAAAGTTTTTCGGTAAAACTAAACTGTGACGCTATCGAAATAACGCTTGTGACGTTGTGTATATATGTTTGTAGTATTTTTTAAAGTGAAACGTCCTGTATGTTTAACTTTTATTTTATAAAATGTAAAATAAAAATTAGCAATTTACGTAACTTAGTGGCTTAAAATTTATGTATTACCCTGAACTTTAAAAATTCTTGGTGTCTCAGTGTCGGAGTGATCAAGGGGCAAATGAGCTGACGGGTAATCTGATAATTACTTGCGCCACCCATGGATGCATGTCACTCACACGTCACGTCACACAACACACTCCCTTCAGTTTTATATTTTTTATAATAATAACCTCGCACATCTCACACGGCTGGTTGATCCCAAACTAGGTAGAGCTTATACTATGGTAATCAGACTGCTGATAAACATATTTATATATTTTTAAATACATACATATTATAGATAACTTACACCCAGACACAGAACAAATGATCGTCCACATCACACAACAAAATAAATGCTTATCAGCGGTATTCTGTGAGACAGTGGTATCAAATTATTGTGAAATCGATTAATCAGACCACAGAGATTTAAAAGATTTTAAATTTTAACGAAAAGAATGTTGGAGTTTATAAAATGCTATATTTGCACATTAACTCTTATTTAAACAAAGGTCCTACCTACAAATTGATAAGGTAACACTACAGTTGCCACTTATCAGTGTTATGAATTTAGATTTTGAAATAGTTTTTTTATCTATCTTAAGTCATCTTACAACTTATCAAAGTCATTTGTCACTACAAGGTAATGATGAAAATACAAGATTTTCGCTCGTCATTCGTCGTCGCCGTCAAAATCAGATTATGTAGGGGAGAGTTGGGTATATTGTACTGCCTGATAATATATAAATGGAAAAAAGACGATTTGGAAAGGGCATTGACGGCTTAGGATAAAAAGGAGATGAGTTTGAACCTGATATCTGCAACACATATTCTGTTCCAAAGCCTACTTTTACGTCATGTCAGAAAACGAAAGAAGATTGCCAACGATTTAACTATACATAAAGGAAGACTTACTACTTTCGATTTGGTTAAATTTACAAAAGAAACAAACCAACCATTTTACTGGTGGTAAAATGCTCAGTACCGGAATGAAAATTTTTGTAGTCCTGAATGGATAATGGTAAATTATTTACCACCAGAAAAACTACCCAACAGAAAAACCCTTATTTTTTAAAATTTTGGTAAAAAATATAAAATTAGAAACACGTAATACCCCCCAAAATCCAAAGCAATTTTTGGAAAAAAAGGGATAAAGGCACGCGTTTAAACGTAAGGGTTAAACACATCGAGTTAAAACAACACTAGAGAAGCAAACCTCATTATCACACGTCGAAAAAAGTGTAACCACTTTTGAACTTTGACGACGTAGCTTTGATACCACTAAACATTTGAAAGTAAACATATTTATGTCTCATTTACACGCGAGACAAGAACAATACCATCGCTCGGATTAGACAAAGACAAAGATATAACTTTACGATGGTGGGCCAGTGTTGACTACCGTATGAAATTTTACCCATAACAACTAAGAAACAATTTTTTTTTTAAACAATTTTGTAATAAAATAAATTAATTTAAATATTCCAAATAATATATTTCGAATTGAATAGAATAGGTATAAATAATAAAATAACTGGAAATATTTGGTTAAAAGGGTTTATATTCAGTGTAATATCAAACTGCGCTGTGAAGCATCAGTTTTGTATACAATTGTCTTTTAGACTCTTTTTTATAAGTTTGTGTGGATATTTTACTTTCATGATACACTCTTATTTTTACGTATGTAAAAATAATAGCATTTAATAATAAAAGTGAATGATCAACTTGTACTGATAATAAATAATCCCCAGGGTGTATTGCAAATTCTATTATAATTTAAAAAACAAATAAAAAAAAAATATTTTTATTTTTATTTTATAAAAAAAAATATTTATGTTTATTTACTTTTTTATTTTATATTTTTATGATAAACATTTATTATTATTCTCTTTATTAAATTTTATATATACATATTAATTACATTTTTAAATATATTACAAAAGAAATAAAAATACATTTAAAAATATAAAAAATAGTAGACCACCGACATCGGGTACAGGTACCAGGACACCAGTGGTTAGGACTGCAAAGATAGGAACCTACTCACTATACGAGCCGCGTCAAGGAGGACTGCCTTCTGTATCTTATTATTATTATTATTTTGTACAATTATTATTTAAAATTGATAATAAATTAAGAAAAACAATGAATTAATTTTTTTGTACAAAAGTCTCCAGCACTGCGAGCTTGGCACTTCTGCCAAGCTCGCAGTGAACGTTCAACGGGTCCCTGAAAAAAGGGATCGGTCCAGCCCTAACAACTACCGTTCTTCCTATATTTTATTATTATTGGCAAAATGTTTAAAAACAGTATAAAGCATATTATTTCATAAATTATAAATTCTCCCACTAATGTGGGAAAACCAAAATGATTTTTTAATGGTAACACTGATTCTAAATTACAATTATCAGTGTTTTATTTCAATTATAGCCTTATTTACGATATTATCAATACAAAAACCATAAACTTACACGTGAAAAGTAATTCCGCATGATTTATTAATGTTTTGTGACCTTGAATCGCATTCTTTCACTACGCATTTAGCCATTTTGGCGATTCTGTCATGTGTCGCTATGTTCAACTCGGTTGACGCCACATTGAATAATGAATTGACGTTTGCTACGCATATGCCTGTGGACATATGTGCAGTAGCAACGATTTTAGGCGGTAATTACTCATCTATGTAAGTATTATATCAATGGTTAAACAGAATAGATTACATATTTCTTTCATGATAAAATAGGTACTGCGTCATTTTAATTTATGTAGCCTATTTTGCTTAACGTGAAAAAATACGAAGTGATCCTTTGAACAATTTTTTATTTCATTTGAATTGTTGTGCCGTTTAATCTATAAATAAATTATAATATATAAAATAAATTTACGGTTGATAATAGGTCTTTACCTATGAAATTGCCGTTTTGTATGCAATAAGTGAAAGTACTTATTTTTTCAAACTTTTTTATTTGTGTTATTCGAAGTAATCACCCTTGCAATCGACGCATCTTTGCCAACGCATTGGCAGTTTATTGATGCCCTTCTTGTTAAAATCAGCTGGACGGGAGGCAACAAACTCTTCAAAGGCATTTTGTACTGCCTCTCGGGAATGGATTTTTTAACCAATAAAAAGTTGTCTAAATTTTGGAAAAAGTAAAGTATTATGTAACTAAAACCAAAACGCACCAAATTTTCCTACGGAGGTTATCAATCTATACCATTATCCATTATCTGTGATATCTGATTCTGTTATAAGTAAACATTTGTTATCTATATTGACAAATATCAAACTCAGTGAAGTTTCGTTACGCTTGTAGGCATAATGACAGAATTTATTCTATTGAATAAGGCATTTTTAAGCATAATAAATATCAGCACAAGATGAGAGCAATATTAAAATGTGTAACACCTAGATTTAGCACTCTGTGGTTCCTGGTTTTCGTACCTAAATTCCGATGGTAACTTCATTAACTGTGGCTGCTGTTTTGATCGTGCATAGTATTTTAATAATTCAGACACCAATGAGTAACGCTGAAGGTTCAAAGAAAAATAATAAACCATTTGATTTTCGGGTAATTTCTATTTTTATCTATTCGTCAGACTTCTTACATAAATACATACACTTACATCTACATCTCCGAAAGGGTGAACAGCGGGATGGACGTCAACAATTTGTCAACTGTAATTTAAGTACACATTTAGGCACATAAATTCTTCAACAAATATAATTATTTCAAATTACACATACACTATACATAAAAGACTAGACTCTTCAATGCAGGTAATCCATTTTGGCTAAATACTAAGAATCAACTGATACCATTACACACTTTATAAATTTGGAATGAAAACAAACAGTTAGTACTTTAATTACGAAAGCTTTTGAAACTATAGTAACTTATGAATTATTTGTAGGACGTAGTACAGGAAAATAAAAAATATACTGGTATGCCTAATATATGTCAGTTTAGAATATATGGAGGCATGGTAGCTTCTCAAGACGATGTTCCTTACCAGGTATTTTTTTTTAATTCCATTTTTTCTCTTTGAACAGCTTCATTCAATACAGCAAAAAGTATCTCGTATGGGAGCTAATAAACTGTTTATTTTTATTAGTAGTTTTATAAAAATACAAATCTGCCCTGCTCTGTCTACCATGTTTTAGCATGGTAGACATGGTAGGGCAGATTTCTTAGAATTGTAAGAGTTTAACCTTTACGAACAGCTTTAATTAATTTGTCCCATATGCTTGTTTTAAAAAAATATTGCATAGTAATTTAAGCTGTCGCCACGCCACTTCCTACTACGCTGAGTGTTGTGGGTTCGATCCGCACATGGCACGACACTTTGTGCGATCCACAAATTGTCTTTCTTAGTCTGAGTGTTCCTTGTGTCCGTTTTATGTATGTTTGTAAAGTCCCCCGCGACATTATATATTCCTAGTAAGAAGTCTTTAATAATAAAAAAAAACAGTTAACTAAGTTTAAAAGTGTCTAATTCCAGGTCGTCATAAATAGAAAATTTAACTTTGAAAAAACATGGATAAATTTATGTGGGGGAGCAATAATCACTAAAAAACATGTGCTATCAGCTGCCCATTGCTTTCAGTCTAAGTTAGTACCTCAATATACAATAAGTGGTATCATCGTCAATATTATACATAAGAAATGATCAAGATGCATAAGAGTCACGCTACTGAGTTCCTCTCAAGACTACGGTTAAGGAGCAAATCTTAAAATATACAAGTCATTTTTAGAATCAGACGTGTCGGGTAGCTTACAAATTTCTTGTTATTTGTCAGCTCTTGTTCCCACATAATGTTTTTAAATTAGGTAATTAAAGGCATATCAACCTACGACCTAGTTTGAGCTAGGAATGTACTAGTTGATGTTGTAAATACTATAAAAGGAACATTTCTGCCCCCGATAGTTGAAAAGGTGCATCTAACATTTTTTCCGAATGTGATTTTAAATATATGTATATTTCCGGGATCAGGAAAAAAGGTACACCTGCCTAAATTTTTAATATTTTTCTGCCTTGCTTCATTGAAAATTTAGCACAACAAAATAAAGCACTTATGCAAACTTTTAACACCTTATTAAAGTTGACAAGAAAGACGAATTCATCTAAAACTTAAATAAATAGTTGCATTTACATAAATATTCCTAAGGTTTTTTTTAACTGCGGTAATCTGAAAGGCGCATATAAAATTTTATTTCTAAGACGAAATTAATAAGACTCATGTAACCTTTTACGCCTAATACACTAATTAAAAACTGCTCTCATAGTATGAGAGCAGTTTTTAATTAGTGTGTAGTGTAGAAAAGACTACTATTACCTAAAGGCTTGACATGAGTACATGGGACAAAACTATCGAAAGTGCTTTAAATCTGTTTTATTGAATAGTGTAATCATTAGAGGGTTTAAATGAAAAATATACAGTTAGTAAATCTATTTTCAGGTTGATGGGTCAGATGAAACAATTAATAGAAAATTATATGTATTTTTATTCTTTGGCCAGGATTATCTTCATAGTTTTGAATACTTAAGTAAAAAGGCGAATATAACCAAGATCGCCTTTTTATCTTAAAACGTAAAATACACACAAATACTTAGGCTTAAAGTACTCCAAAAAGTGTTTGAGATTTAAAAGACAAATCTGGCTATTTGTGTCTATTCAATAAAAAAACACTAAAATGAACTGTTTTTTGTCATTTTTAATTAAATATTTATATATATTTTTAAAATATTTATATTTTTTTTAGCTTATGTCAACGACAATTATCATGCCTATAAATTTCTATTGTTAATATTTAATTATTTTTATTTACTCAAAGACAGCCAACGATTTCCCATAAATTAATTAAAGTATTTTTTTCTCCATTTTGACTTGATGTTACATGCGCTTTTAAACTATCGGGGGCAGCATTGACTTTCCAAGGAATATCTACTACTAATACTGATTTAAAAGCAAAATAAAGTTTTCTCTGTAGTACCACCACATATGTTATCCTTATTTATAAAATCTGAGTAAAAAAGCATGTGTCTTGCATGTTATAATTTAAATGTTGATTACCGAATTTAACAGCCGGTAACATATAACTTGGTTAATTTACAACAGCTGTTGCAGGCCCTATTTCCTAAAAACATGGCCGCCAGCGGGCATCCGCTGACTTAAGGAAGAGACGAAGCGTCTGTTCCTTGAGTCCTAAATAATACAAAGAACATTGCCTTTCATGATCCACCTGGTTATATAAATTTAAAAATACAATATTTGCTTAATAGTTTTTGGAACTAGAATACCAAAAACCACGGGCTAGAGCTAGAATTTCAATTTTTCCTTCCCTTACTAGAAGCAGAAAACACCTTCAGGCAATGAGAGTAGTAGCTGGGGCTGGTCAATCCACTCTACGTATTGTTTACGATAAGTATAATAGACGCTCTTTAGTACGACGATTGAATGTAACCGGCATTTGGAGAAGAATAGCTGATTGGTATAACCATGCGAAGTACGAGAAAAATACGGTGGTTAACGACATAGCTGTGTTGGTGGTAACCATTTTTCCTTATTTTTAAAAACTAATTGCTGAAGGCTCTTAACTATCCTTTATTACTCTTACTACTAACCTTCACTAAGTATTGCAATGATTTTTAAATAAAAATGATTTTACAATTTCTGTAACTACTGCTAGTTGTGCGACTTCTGAATATTTCGTTTGTCCTCAATTAACTCACCTGTTTACGATTCCGTAGTAGTTACCCTAAATATTTTCCTTATAATATTTATTTCTGTAGCTAGAACAAAAAATTAAATTTTCGGATAAGATCTATCCTGTTCGGATGATTACTGGAGATACAAAGTTAACGCAGGAGACTCTTTGCGTTACTTCTGGATTTGGATTAACCGAAGAGGTAAAATAATTAATTTGATTCCTCATCCTCGTTTATGCTCGACATTTACCCATGTCTCATACCGCTATGTAAGAAGTACCTATGCGCAACAGATCCCGTTACGTAGTATAATGAGGGCCTTGTGAATTTGATCGCGACATTATAAACTAGCGTAAAATAGAATTTTGCTTTTTATTGATCAACCAACACCAAGCTCTTAACGTTATATTTGACCTTCAAATCAACAATGAATATTTTCAAAGGAATGTGATAATTTTTTAATATTTAATTTTTTTAATAGTTTTTGTATTTTAATTTTAACATTTTTTTTATTTAAGTTTGATTGGAAATATAGTATTAACTGAATTTGAGGTACTAAAATTTCCCCATTTTTAAGGTAAATTCCTTACAATGACATACCGTTATTTCTGTTTACCCACAACTGATAGGTATTACATATTAGACTTAAGTTTTGGAAACAGTAATCTTTGATTATGCGATAAGACGAAACCGCTCAGGTCAATAAAATTAAATAGTTGAATATAAGTACTACCAAGTGCCGACAAACGAGAGTATAAATTATAATATTTTCAATTATAAGTAATCATTTAACAGCTTTAATCTGTTTTGACATTTCAGAACAAGCTATCGTCAGTCCTTCAAATGGTGTGTGTCCCAATTATACCTTTGAGCGCGTGCAAGAAAATTTATAGCGGTTTGTATTTATCAGATGAAGTACAAATTTGTGCTGGCTCGTACGGGAAAGATAGTTGCCAGGTAGTTATTGCTGATTTTACCGATAATTATAGTTCGCTTAGATCGATATTGATATTGTATGTTTGTAAAGCGTCTTTATTGTCTTTACCTCATAAACGCCGGGCGGTGCCGATGGCAGCGTGGTGTCAGATTAACAGAACGAGTAAGATATGGGCTAAGCCTGTTTACTTCTACAGACAAACTAATAGAGATAGGAAAACTTATTCATCCTAGTCTTAAAGAGCACATGTGCTGGTTATTTCTTTTGCAGGGTGACTCGGGCGGTCCACTGGTATGTAAAGGTATTTTAACCGGTATAGTATCTTTCGGTGCTGATTGTGGTTTAAGCCCCGGCATCTATACATCTATCGCAAGCTACACTACCGGTAAAAAAGTACCTTTTGTGAGAAGCATTCGCAATTCTGTGACTAAGAATGAACAAATTCTTGTTACAAGTCTACACCTAATAGTCATGTATATCAGTGTTATTATTGTCCAAAATGTTTTCTTGTGTGTCTAATAAATTTAATATTATTAAATTAATCATGTTGAAGGCTTTCACCTAGTTTTCCCAACTTCGCTAAGAAAAATAACTAAATTACTTGCTATAGATTAAATTATTAAATGAAATTAAATTAATAGATAGAACCCTGAATAAACAATACGTTCACAGAAAGAGAACTGGACTTGCTAATAGCAAGCCCACGATCTTGTACTCCCAATCACAGAAAATATGTATATCATAAAAGAATCTAAAATTTCATGAATGCGCCATCTTCTGATACACTGACAAAATAAAAGGCTCTGATATGAACAGTTAAGAAATCAAGTTGATATGTAGTTGTATTATTATCTTTTACCGATAGGTGGCGCTAACATAAAGTATTTGTTTGGTCTCGGAGCCAGTAGAGGGTCGTCCATTAATCACGTGATGTTTTTACCAATTTTAACCTCCTGGTGATATTATTATGTATTGAGGTTTTAGACTACCCCTCCCCCCTGCCCAAGCTCACGTGTATTTTTTGGAACAGAGTAAATTGAATTTTTAGGATATTGTCTTTAAATACAGGTATAATTTGATTAAATTATTGAAAATTAGGCATCGTGATAAAAATGTACAGACAGACATTACTATGCAGGTTGTTTTTGACTAGCATAAAAATAAAAATAAAACATGCAAAAACATATATTTGTACATAGAAATTAAATGAATGAGAAATGAAATCGTGCGCTCAACGAAAACTAAATACACGTGATATCTTATATCCCCTCTCTTCTCCTTGTGATATTTCGTGATTTTTTCTCCGAACCCTTCCCCCCCTCCTTTCGAGCCTCAAGTGATTAATGGACTATCCCTAGCTATAACTTCTTGAAGTGTCAATTGAGTTCTTAAGAATATTATAGAGATGGCACTGCACGCAATGCCCACAAGTCTTCTCTAAGGCCAAATAAGTACAATTAAAAAATCACGAGATGGCGTTATTAGCATCACCAAATTTTTCATGGTAAAATATTTACCTTTTTTTTTATGGTATGACGGGTCACCTGTGGTATGACGGGATGGAAAGTGACTATAGCCGCCCATGAACGTCTGCAACTCAGGAGTCACAAAGGCGTTGCCGGCCTTTTAGGAAGGAGTAAATAAAAGTAGAAGAGATAGGTACTAGGTGTGCATGTTTTTTTGTCTATATGTTCGCCAAATTTCTAAGCATCGGTTGGTTTAGCAATTTTGTTTAACCAAATGGAAGAGTTTAAATTTTTCGAAGGCAAAATAAAGATGAGATATGAATCTATTTATTATAATACATACCTAGATAAAGCCTAAATAGAAACTTTTAATATCATGTTTTTTTTTTAATCCGTGCAAGATGTAAGACTCTCTCATGAGAAGCGACGGGGGATTCTTAACAGATAGCTGGAAGGTTTTGTTGGGTGCAAAAGTTAAGCGATTACGTTCACCCCAATGAGATATCAAGTTCAAACATCTATTGGTTAATCTCTCAATTGCCGCGGGCCCCTAATATCAGATTCCACCAGTAATAAACCGTCATCAGCATACGCGTTCAGAGTACATCCGGATGGTGTTGGTATCTCAAGAAAATCGTCGAAGCCGATATTCCACAAGTATGGACCCAGCAGTGATTGTTGATGACATCCCATTGTAAGAACCTTCGACACAGAATGATGACCAAGTCTTAGTTTAGTTGTACTTTCTGAAAAGTATGAAGAGATAAGGGAATAAATATTTTTAAAGTACCTTCGTGATTTTAATTTCAGCAACAGCATGGGGCACCATGCGTTGTCGAAGGCGCCAGATATATCTAAGAAAAAAGCCTACACGTATTGAAATTTTGACTCTGTGACAAACTAACCTAACCGAAATAACCGCATCAATAGTCGATTTTCCCAACGTAAATCCAAATCTTCTATCATGAAATTTAACTCCACCCGGCCGAAGCGGGGCACTACAGGACGTTCTAAAAGCTTTCCGAACGATTGATCATCATCCGGCGGCTTGTCGCCGCTTTTTGGTATTATAAGAATATTACCGCTCCGCCAAATACGAGGAAATATTCCTTCCGCCATCCAACGTTTAAAAACAGTCAAAATCATGTCACCTGAAAGTTTACAAGCTTCTTCTATCATTTCGTTTTAAATTTTATCATAGCATGAAGCCTTGTTTAGCGGCAAGAATCTAACGATACTGAGAATTTCGTCTGAAGATGGAAAGTCAGACATTGGAGACAGTGGTGGTTCGATGGCTCACTGCCTGATCTGTCGGTGATGATCACTGTCATTTTCCGGCCGATCATCAGGTACAAGTGATTCTAAAAGATATTCTACTGATTGTTCTACTCCTGTGGTACATCTGTTATTAATTTTGATGTTCTGTATATATGCAAGGTCGATTAATCTATTTGCCTTAATTTCGTGCCCTCGGGCCACGGGCCCTCTCTATTGAGTTTATCAACAAGTTTCTGAATTAAGTTTCCCTTGGATTTTTTTTTACAGCAGCTTTGTAGAGTGGGACCTGGCAACTCTAAGAGCAATGAGAGCATTACTGTACAAGTTTCCTGTTACGTTATGCTTTTTAATAGCGTTTAATAACCTACGAGCTTTCTGGTAGCTTCTACGTAGTTCGGCTAATTTATCATTCCACCAATCACATCTACGAGTGTTGGTGATAGGCCCGCGACCAATAGATTTCATTGCGGAAATGAACCAAAGATTCATTGAAATGAAATCTTTAACCGCACAATGTCGAACCGTATTGGTTGAACGCAACTTGCCATACCATAATTACCATTCTCACTTAATTTTAATTCGTCCTTGATATTCTCACCATATAAGGCTGTTAGGAAGGTATGATCCTTCATAGAACGGGGTACGTCTTTTACAATTACAAATTCCAGTTTTTTAAGCTGCCTTTCGTTAGCTACACGTAACACGAGGCCTGTCTTAGCGGTTTTTTAACACCTACAATTTGGAAACCCTCATCGCTAGGGTTAATAGCCTTCATGAGAGCTTGTTTAGTTGCTGACGAGGTCGAATAGTCCGCTGAGTGTTCCGTAGTGGGCCTAGGAATGCGCGCTTTGTTGGGTATCGGGCACGAGGCAGATTTAGGTGGTAAGCGAAGCTTAAGTTTGTCTGCGTATGTTAAACTCGATTGTTGAGTTGCGATACCCTCCATTGGACGCTCAAAATTCTCTAATTTATTTTCGTTGCTAGAGGATTTTATTGCTAACAAGGATACGATGCCGGTAATCCGTTGAGTAATGTCCATTATCGCCGTTTTATCACCTACATTCATTCGTGATCATTGATACTAGCTCTGTCTGACTTGTTCATCAACGCAGAGCCTAAACCGTTCATGGGCGCCGGTAGTCGCTTTCCATCAGTTGAGTCGTCTGCACGTTTGCCCCCTATTCCATAAAAAAATCTGAGAGGTAAAATGAAGGGTGCATGTTTGTAAAAATTGAAACTTAAAATAAGAAATAACTACGCGAGCGAAGGCGCGTAAAATAGCTAGTACGAGTAAATACTTAATAATAATATTATACCTGCAAACTATACAACTTACGCTTCAATCAACGAGTCTGGAAAACTTCCTCGTGTTGCATGAGCTTTAAGGTGATTTCAGACGTGGTGCATTATATATAAGGAGTTTCATTACCTGTACTGGAGCAGGTCGCAAGGCGCCCGCCGGAAGTCCCTTCATAAATTATAACTTCCGCTAGTTTAGACTTGAGATGGATTTGATGTGCTGTTACAGGGGGTGAATTTTGACATAAGTATTACACAGTACAGTATTAAGTAGTACAGTGAATCATAGTTTTTTTTTGTATTTATTTGAATATAAGTAAATACCTACGTAATATGTATAAAGGTTGAATTTAGGTGATCCTCAAACTAAATCTTATTTTCTGCACTAGTAGTCGGGAATACAAGGTTTTTGTTTAATATTCTAGTTTATTGACTTATCTGCATTTAAAATGGAAACAAAAAAAATCCCAAAAGATAATGCTTGGACAAGATTTTGATGTTTAAGGTTTAGCCCAATACACTGAGAAGCCCTCATAGTCACAATGTTAAATAAAACTACTATCTAAATGTCTTCTGTATAACTACTATCTGTAAGTACTGTCTTAATACATATTTCGTATAGCAGGACAACAACATAACATCTACACAGAATAAATTATCATCACGTATCAATCACTCAATTTAGTTCTAGGGAAGAAACCCACTACCGGCCTGGTTTAGACAAAAAATATTACCTAAAGTGTATAGTGTGTAGTCATTCTTTTATCAACGAGACTTCGGATGTTATATAATGGAAAAATGAAGTTTATTTCACTTCTACCCGATCGTCATGGTGACCGCGTTCAGCGCTGCGATTGGCCGGCACTAAAATCTTCTTAACGCTTAACGACAGGCACTGGTGCAGTTGTGTGCGCGGCTGGAACAGCCGGGGAATATGCACCAAGGCGCTGTCGGTGCCGTTCTGGAAGCTTGGCTAGGTAGGGAGGGAGGTCGCGTTTGTCCCCTCTTCCATAAAAACCAATTCATTTTAAACTGGTCAATCAAAATCATCTGGTTCATTTCAAAAGTGCATTGCTGGCTTTGAATAGTATCACTGCCGTCGACCCGGCCAATATGTGCAGAAGAATATTTAACACTCCTTGAACTAAACACACTTATGTGAACAAAAGAAGACTTCACCGTCCTGATCCAATCCATATCGTTTATGTTATACTATGCATGCAAATATTTATAAATTACATGGTTTATCTGTGTGGCATATCTACTCCTGCATTTTACAGGTCAGAATCTTTCTACCTCAGCTATTATCGATTCTTAAATGGCCCAGCTCTTGCCACATATCTTGCTTATAAAGTAAAAAGCTAACAAGGTTTTGACTCCTGAGTTGCAGATGTTCATGGGCGGCGATGGTCACTTTCCATCAGGTGGCCCGTCTGCTCGTCTGCCCCCTCTAACATAAAAAAAAGAAACATATAAATAAACATAACACCTTGCAGTATATAACATCACATCTTTATTCTTAATCGTGTTGAAAAAATCAGACAATAACCAGCGAGAAAAAAATTGTTAAGTAATTAGAAAACCTATCTAGATGCTAGAGACAACGAGCCTATGCGGGATATGAAATTAATTGATCCGTAGTACAATTTAAGCTCCAAATCTAATTATTCGGTTTCCAGCCGACCTTTTCTGAAACAATTTGCTAATCACACCTAATTGCTCAAATGAATACTTTGAGAATAACTAATTAAATTCTCGAATTTTCACTACGTGTGTTTCACGTTCGCGAAATCAGTTCCTCGAGTATTGTCTTGAGATTTCTATTTAATTAGAGCGGCCTCAAGTCGATGCATGACGCCCATCGGCCGGATATTACTACGCATATCAAATAACAGCGCACAAGTTGAGCATGACTTA